ATATCTTCATAGAAGAGAAAGGTAACCCACTCATTTGTCACCGGGTTAACACATAACAGTACATTATGACACGTTGAATCTAGCAAATTATGGAGAGTTATAGGGTGAGACTAGAAAACAAAGACCTAACAAATTATAGTGACCGGTCTGACTTGCTGAAACTTGTCCATCAAATGCAGCCCCAGAAATCAAACTGAAAAAGTAAGCCCCATTTTTTCTCTAACCGATTTTGTTTTTTGCTTGTTTGTTTTTGCAAAATTGTAGGTGTGTACACGTATTGCGTGCGTGCGTGTGTGTGTATGTGTGTGTGTGGAGAGGGGGGGGCGAGAAGACTACCTACGGCCCGCGAAGTTATGCCAATCGTTAGCTGTGGCCCGCGAGCTTTAAAAGGTTGGCCACCCGTGTCATTTAATCCAATTAAAAATAGTTAATCGTTTAGTCCTATCCCTTAAACCTCTAATATTTACCAAAATAAAATTCACACTATCCATTGGTTTTCTTTTCTATTTATACGCATACTTAAACAAAAAATGCAGTAAGAATTCGTCATCAATATTATTGCAAAGTTTCCGAGAAATTATGAACACTATCCATTGATTTTCTTCTCTGTCAATACACACGTAAACAAACAAAAAAATATGAATTTATCACCAATTGTAAATTAAGTTTCCATGAACTTATGAACACTATCCATTGATTTTCTTCTCTGTCTATACACACTCTTAAACAAAAAAAGCAGTAAGAATTTATCACCATTTGTAAAGTTTCCATGAACTTATGAACATCTATTAACCTCAACAGTTTTAATTCATGCGTACCATGTTGTAACTTGTGAGAATAAGCAGAAACAGACACCCCCTCACTCACAGACAGACAACAACACAGACGGTATAACCACACACTCACCCATAAGCCATAACAATTCAATATAATTCATCTAACACAGTTCTTCAGTACACCCTCCGACCCAGCTCATGGCTCCGAACTGACAGCCCACGGCCGCCCCTCCCCCGCAATCAGGGGCGGCGATCCGGGGGGAACACCCCCCTCAATTTCCTAGGGGCCGTGAAAGGATATCCTCCCGGGTTAACGTTTGTTCTTGTTCCTCATTTATGTCTTCATCTTCTTCTCTCCCGCCAGATCCTTATTTAACATTGCTATTTGTTATCTTCTTATCACCCCCCCCCCCTCCCCCCTGAGACACCCTAGCTTTTTCAAAACGACAAGTAACTGAAAGGAGAGAGAGAAAAAAAAATCTTGAGCGCAGTACCCTTGTAGTTGTAAGCATAATCAGCGAACTTTCCCGCCCTGTAGTTTCTAATTAAATTATACAATGCAACCATTCATCCCTCACTGCATTTTTCTAGGAAATACAGAGGGGATCATTCATGACCACAAAAAATCATCTACTGCATGCAGACAACAACAAAACCCACATAAACACTCATTAACCCTATATACTAAATCAATTTCCTGAACTCCAATAGACTTGAGGGTCATCACACGAGAGCCCTCCCTATCCTATCATCTCTCAACATACACACGCACGCGTCCTATAAACACACTCACACACATACGTCCTCCTTTTACGCACACATCTCGCGAGAAATCCGCAAACTTGACATTAACAGTTGTAAAGTATAGAACAAATATTTATAACCCCCGTTTTGCATATTTTTCTTAAACTTCACTATCATCAGAAAATAGAGCTTGTCATTACTTTAACGCAAGAAATACATTATATCAATTTATCTTTTTTCTCCTTCTTTATGAAGTTAATTGGTAAATCAAGTTCTTTAAAACCTGTCAAACTTATACTTTCTACTATACTTTGAGGCCGCCATCCTAGTCAAGCATCGCTTATGATTGCGGTCTCCTGCACTTTGTTAACAGATAGTTCGCATAATACTTTAATTTGTTAATAACAATATGTTGAAGAAATATAAAGTTTCGTTACTAACAGAAATATGTAAAAACACATTTTGACATGAAGTTATTATTGTTTGTATTAACCTTACGTGTATAATTATGTTCTTTGTTATTCAATTAGTATATTTGGAAAAATGCAGAAATGAAATAAAACAAAATATTAGAACATATTTTCAATGAATTCTGATAAAAATTATGATCATTTCTATTGATTAAAAACAAAATAATGACATTGTTCTTCAACTGAGTTATGATAAATCTGAGAATTCATATAATTCTAATTTGTGTACAAATTTTTTGTCTTACTTTGTTAAAAAATAAAATATCTTTCCTCTTTAGAATTTGATTATCATCTTTGTCTACATCTAAATATTGATCCTCATGACTATAAGAAATCACTAAAAACATTTACTGGATATGAGAAAAATAACTAACACACGCGCGCACTGGAATACAGTGAAAATGTACTGAATTTGAACGATTTGCATTTGTCTAAATGCCCACTATAGGTTTGTTATAAATTTTTGCTTGAGCCCCATGTTCTGCGGGCCCTGATTTGTGAATATATGTTAGACGGGGTAGCAGGTTTAGGTATACATCCAGAAATATGAAGTAAGGGAGGAGGTTCAACACTTTCTTAATTACTTTTTTTGCTATGGCGTTTCAAATAATTTATTTCTTGCAATGTAAACAAGGTAGCAAACAGTACTTTAAGAAATTCATTTGTGTTTTAAAGCATAAGACAAACATTTATGTTTTTCTGACTGCCCCAACTTTTGACTTTCGACATCTCTTTTTCTCTGTTTATATCTTTCTCTTTCTCTCTCCCTTTCTCCTTCATCATTGGATGTTTTCTTTCCCTCTATCGTCATATTTTACCTTATTTAATTCAACATGTCTTATTGATGTTGAGACATATTTCTTGATCATTCCATGCGGTTGCTTTTATTCTTTACATTATACTCTAATAATGCCTTTTATTGTCAATGTCTTTAATGTACATCTTGTAAACTTTTGCAATTCGGCCTTGCGGCCGTGAGGAAAGTATTTGAATAAACCATTTTGGATTAACCTCCACATTCTGTCATATTTAAATGTTCTTTTTAACGTTTTGGTCATCATTGACACAAATATACAAGAAACGGAAAAACAAAGTGCTATTCAAAAACAAAAATTAAAGCATATTAATGGATTAAAAGCCCAAAGCAGTACTGCCCCTCATTTGAACTTGTCATTTTAGTGACTTATTAGAACAACCAGCCCTGCTCACTCTAAAAACTGAAATGTTAAATCACCATTTAAAAGGGCCGAGGAGTGACCACTCTTTCAGAATGGTAGATTAACACTTTGAACATGCTGGATCCAACACTATAAAGGTTGAATCCAGCATATTAAAAGTTAAAATCTGATGATTTGAAAGAGTGGTCACTCCTCGGCCCTTTTAAATTGACATTTAACATTTCAGTTTTTAGAGTCATGGACGACAACTAGCATCCCTTCCCCTTCCCCTTTTCTGTAAAACGCGTCTTGGCTTCGAATCCTGGAGGCAGCCCGCCAAGTCGACCATTGGACACTGAAACACATCTTCCATGGAATATAGAAAAGCCTGACCTCAGGACTGTTGGTGTTGGGTATCCACTTTGGTAACTGGAAAATGAAATACCGTTTTTATCGTATCTAAGCGCTGCTTTTCACGACGACATAACTTATTTCCACACAAAAATTATGTGACTTTCATACTCATAGATCAGTTACAGAAAGAGAGAGAGACACACACACGCACACACACCTAAATATAGTTAAAACAGACATGAGTAAACAGTGGTAGTATAATAGTTGTACGCCTGGTAGTAGTAGTAATAGTTGTACGCCGGTAGTAGTAGTAGCAGTAGTAGTAGTAGTAGTAGTAGTACTAGTACTAGTAGTTTGTAGTAGTAGTAGTAGTAGTAGTAGTAGTAGTAGTAGTAGTACTAGTAGTTTGTAGTAGTAGTAGTAGTAGGAGGAGGAGGAGGAGTAGTAGTAGTAGTAGTAGTAGTAGTAGTAGTAGCCGTAGACCTCTTAGGATACTGCATTAAGATCACATTTGTAGGTCTTCTTAGACTTTTGTACGATGGCAAAAAACTTCTTGCAGCTTTATGCACACGAAGACTGAATGCAAGTAATATCCATCCTATAAGACTAATCCAGATTACGTTCTTAAAAGGCAATAAAGTGGGGCATAAACAGGATCAAGACAAATTTAGCTTCTGGGTCTATGTAAAGCAATTGTCTATTTTGCTTCGCAATGCCAAGTGAATACCTTTATCAAACGTCAAAAGCCCAGCTATCAATAGAGATTAATGACTAACGTTTAAAATAGCTATAGTTGATATATAATACTTCCTGAAAGCATGGCAAGGTATAGGGGAGGCCTTGTTTAATCTATTATCTGAAAACTCGTTGTTTCCAACAACAAAAAACTCCCGTCTTTCTCTCTCGCTCTCTCTCTCTCTCTCTCTCTCTCTCTCTCTCTCTCTCTCTCTCTCTCTCTTTTCTCTTTCCCTCTTCAGTATTTGTGACCTGTTCTGGCAAAAACACAACACTTCATTGTAATCGCGGAAGAGGTTTACGGTACACCAGGTGTAAAGTCCTAGAAGGACTAAGGAAAGTGGATAGAAAATAGAAGTAAAATGGAAAAGGCGAGAAAGTGGAGGTTGGAAGGAAGAGTATCTTTTCGGAAGTGAGTATAGTCCGGGAAAGGACTGTAAACCAGAAAGTTGTAGACAGGATGAGAGGTTTGAGTAGAAGACTGGATTGAGTTGGAGGGTTGAGTAGATGAGAGAAGCTGGCTTGAGTCGGCGAGTAGAGTTGCAGAGCAGGAGCAGGAGAGTAGACTCGACGTTTCGGACAGGTTGACTGTCCTGAAGACGGACAGTCAACCTGTCCGAAACGTCGAAACACCTCTTCCGCGATTGTTCATACAACCATGCAAACCTTCAAACTTCATTGTAAGGAGTAAGAAGTTAACTTTAATACTATTATCGGATACCTCATTCAAAGGAATTGATTGAAATTTGACAAGTTTTACTCACGTTTATGGTGTAAATGCTGCCATACTCGTCGGCGAATCGCTTCATTTTCATCAAAACATCGGAGCGTAAATCGAGAAGTGAACCTATAAGGGGCAGTCCCTTGGGCCCAGGAGGATACCGTCTTCCATCATCCTTCTTTTCCCGTAGAGAACGGAAAAGGCGGTACACCAGGTATAGAGTTATCACACATAATATAACTGATGTGAATGAACTTGGATAAGGCAAAGACGATTCGAGCTGTGATGAGCTGATCTCGCACTTCTCCATCTCAGCTAGTGTCTGTATAATGCGTTTCTGTCGATTATTCTTTCTATGTCCTTCTTCCGTCTCTGTATCTACAAGGTTTCCTTCCCACTCTTTCTCAAGTAAATCTGGCGCTTAGATGCACTGATGCCTAGTATTGTAGTAAAGATTATAGGGCTTAGTTGTAAAATGTCCTCAATCACAAAGCAACGCTACTCATTACTCACGTTTATTACATCAAGTCACGTCAAGAAAATGAGAAGATTACATCCCTCAATTTTCTGGCCAGTAGCTAGTGGTTTAGGATGTTAGTTTGTTCACCTACTTTTATTGGATAATAAGTTTGTATGATATCGCTATATTTAAGTGGAGTGTTTGTTTTTTTGGTTCACGTATGATTGAACTGTTGAACAGGAATAGCAGTCAGTAAGTCCATGAGGTGAGGTGCGTTGTGACGGGGTAATGGCAAGGTAGTTTGTGGGCGGGCCTTATGCGTTCGTGTCGTCTGCAGTCATTCACGTCAAGAAAATGAGAAGATTACATCCCTCAATTTTCTGGCCAGTAGCTAGTGGTTTGGGATGTTAGTTTGTTCAGAGATAAGTCCCTGGTTTGTTCACCTACTTTTATTGGATAATAAGTTTGTATGATATCGCTATATTTAAGGGGAGTGTTTTTTTTGGTTCACGTATGATTGAACTGTTGAACAGGAATAGCAGTCAGTAAGTCCGTGAGGTGAGGTGCGTTGTGACGGGGTAATGGCAAGGTAGTTTGTGGGCGGGCCTTATGCGTTCGTGTCGTCTGCAGTCATTCATAGTGAATAGTCCATGATCACTGGAGCTATCAATCACTCGTAGGCCCCACCCCAATGGGGACATGACAGCAAGTCAACAAAGTATATCTCTAGAACATGACCCCCCCCCCCTCCCTATCAATAAAAGATGTAGGTCGGGTCGCAATGAATTGACAGTTCTCCAAACCGTTTAGCATGCATGTGTGTGTGTGTGTGTGTGTTTTCTGATATAGAGCCCAAATAGGTATGTGACGTCGACGGGACCAAAAAGGGAATAAAATGGGGGAGGAGGGCACCTTCATTCGAATCCAAGTGAAAAAGGTCTCTGACTCTGTGTTTTTTTATTTTTAACGTGTGCCTTTTTACTCCAAAAACTTTGGGAAGCAAGTAAAAAAGGTTACTGTACCTTAGCTTCTAGATACTCCGCTCACCCCAAAACTTGTTAATTTCTATGGTTATTTTTCGAATTTCAAACACCGCCCCCGCCCCCTCGCCCCCTCCCGTTCGAGGGATCATGGGTCCGCCTTCAGAAGGGTAAGGTCGGTTTATTTTCTTCAAGCATAGCCTACTCTATCGCCGAAGCCTAATACTATAATCGTCATTAATCCCTTTTTGACACGAGAGTCTTTTTTATTCCTTGGTTGAATTCCCCATTCTACATAGTGTTATAAATAGAAAAGTAGTAGAGTGTTGTTTCGTTTTACTTCTGAGAATCAAAGTCTATGATTTTATTTTGGCGCGCAAAAGTGGCAAAGGGGAAGGACGCAACTCCTTCACATTAGATCGTCTGTCAAAATGTATGGTATTACAATATTGGCAAGGACGATGTTACCGTATAATTGTGATCTGTATTTGTGCGCGCAAACGTGGAAAGGGCAATGACGCGATATATAACATTCATAGATCGTCTGCTCTCAGAATGTTGCAATTAAAGGTAATACAAAGTTTTGGAAAATTTTGAAAATTGGGTGGATATTAATTCTTTACAATTTTGAAATATTTGGATGCCCCTGTGGATGTATTATAAGCACTAGAAAATTTAGCCCCTAAAACACTTCCGCTTTCGAAAAATAATGTATTTTATACAAATTCACTGGTGCTCCCTGTAAATTTTGATAAATTTTAAGTAGCTCCTACGGCCGTACAATGGTAGCTGCGACCATGAAAATCTTAGAATATGGATTTGTGGTATATAATTTCCAAACGGGAATAGATAATCGGTCGATTTTAGTCAAGAAACATTGGTTTGTAGTTTAATTAATATCTTGACCTTGAGAGGTCATAAATAGTTTATTTTTTACAATTTCTTAACTTTAAACTCGATCACTGAATATTGAAGGATCGCATATGCTTCCAATAATGTTCATTTGAACCAAATTCATGACCTCATACAAAACTTTGTATTACCTTTAACACTTTTGGGAAGGCCAAGGTCGATGTGTGTGAAGAATGAAAGAGCACTCTCCCCCTTTTATCACTCTCTCTCTCAATCTCTCTCACACACTTTCTTTCTTGCTCTTCCCCTCTCTTTCTGTCTTTCTCTTTATCTCTGTCTCTTTCCATAGATTCTTAGTAGGTCCATGCTTTACCTATCCCTCGATCTCTATAATGTCTCTCTTTCCTTCTCCCTCTTTATTTTTTCTCTCCACTCCCTTAATCCCTCTCTCTCTCTCTCTCTCTCCCTTACTCTTCCCTATAATGTCATCTTACTCTCCCCTATGTAGGCCTACCAATTATATATTTATCCTTTTCTCCCCTTCTTTGTATACCCCCCCCCCCGTCTCTCTCTCTCTCTCTCTCTCTCTCTCTTTTAATATGCCATTTCTTCTCACCCCCCCCCCCCCTCTCCCTCCTTCTCCCTATCCCTCACTCTCTCCCTTTCACTCTCTCCTCTCTTAAATCTATATTGTATACGGTTTGCGTGTAGATTCTCAGTTTTAAGGTCCAAGTAGAGTCTGTGGGTCAAATCTTAATGTCATATCACATGTAACAATAAGTAGAAAATACATGATAACAAGACGTAATGCCCATCGAGATTGACGTGAATGTGTGCCATTTCACATAATTTCAGTATGTCCGATCAACAATTTGTCTCATCTCATTTCATCTACACCCGATTCGCTCACTTTCCTTAAACTTTAATATTTTCGTCTTTACTACTATGTCCACTTAAATTCATAAAGTGCCATCTTTGACCAGGAAAGTGGGCCAAACATACGAACAAAGTGGTATATACGCACAGAAAATGGCGAGGCGGGGACGCCAAACGGTCTTCTTTTGTTTACAACGAGCACTCAAACGAATTAATGGCAAGGTCGTTCAAACTTCCTTTATCCTTACGGTAAATCGTTCTATTAAACTAATAGAAACCCTATTTGAAGAAGAAAAAAAAGGTAATGGCAATACTAAAACGAAGTGAAATGGCAAGGACGGTCTTTCTCCGTTTATGTACACAATTATATATATCCCGGAATTTTTCTCTTTTCAGCCTTATTACATTCTTTTTTTTCTTTCATTTTTCTTCTTCAAGATAATCTGCCTCCTTCAATGCTGAAGATTATTGCAACTGCCGTATATGCCGTAACTATATACTCGGCCTCTTTTTCTCACATACTATTGGTACCCTATATTTACGCTCTTATTAATTGTCTAAAACCAAAAAGTTGCGTAAATCCTTATCGTAGTATTCAATCATGCAAGGAAACCCGTTTACTTTGTAAACTTCACTGTCAGACACTATTGAGTGACTGACGGACTTCTTTTTCTTTGGTAATAACATACATAAAGTGAGCTGTAAAGGGTACATGAGCATTTGTCTACAACAATAACCCACTTCCTGTAATCGCCAAAATTAAACTGATTGAATCTTTGTGCAGCACAAAACGTACGACCATTCGGTGCAAGGGTCTGAAAATCAGACTATTTTCAAGCCCTTTTGTTTTGAGGGAAGTTCTAAATAAGTATTATCTTTCAAATGCCGTTGGTATTTAACCTTTTCATTTTTTGGCTTGCAATTGGGACAGTACCTTTAAAAGTCAAGTTGAATGGCCTTGATACCTGATATCATTTCAAGGACATCTAAACAAAGATATAACGGAATCTATAACAAGATAATTTTCTCAATCGGACTTTGTCCTTATTTACATTCATAGAAAGTGGGTCACGATGATATACTGCACAACTTAAATTTTCCGGACATTTTGGCCCGAGTCATCAAAATAAATGACAATGAGAATGATTCCATTCTTGGTTCAAGAGATGTACGTGGATCGGCGGGGCAATATAAAGTTGAGACACGTGCACACGACCAGAAGCGATCAAGTTCATGCTTGCCAGCTAAAGAAATTAGCCAAATTTGTTAGAATAATTGTGGCCCCTTTTTCTTTAAAGAGCCAAGGGTAGATGGTAATACTGTAAATGATAAGCGGTGTTAGGCACATTCGTGTACCGGTATAGGGTGAGTCGCCCAGTTCGCCTTGATTTGTAAATTTGTTCATATTATCACGTGTTTATCATTGTTCATAATTATCACATGTCTATTGTTGTTCATATTATCACAATCATGTTTATCTCTGTTCATATTTTCATATGTTTTATCATTGTTCATTATTATCACATGTCTATTATTTTTCATATTATCACGATCATGATTATCTCTGTTAATATTTTCATATGTTTTATCATTGTTCATATTATCACATGTCTATTATTTTTCATATTATCACGATCATGTTTATCTTTCTTCATATTTTAATATGTTTTATCATTGTACTTATGCTATTGCTATATTGATACTATACAGGTATAGATATGTACTCTCATACCCCGAGAGGGGTCGATAGAGTCAATAAAATCTAACAATAAAATCTTGCAATCAAAGGGCAATGGAGCTCCGATTAGTTCCCTCCCATCATCATGCCCATAAATAGATTGTACGTGCACTTGAATAGGAAATATAACTCAGATACAAGAAAAGAGTTATTCACAAACAAACTTTATGATAGTTATTCTCTTTGTTATGATGACACAATCTTGACATCCCTTAACATTAAGTAGTTCAAAATGGACAAAGTTTATCTGGGATGCTATTTGTTCATGAAACTTTACTGTCAATATCTTTGGTAGTTATCAATATACCAATCTCGGATACAAATTAATGATACACAGGAATTCAAAGGAACCAAGTACACACAAATTAAACCTGTGCATCAACGGTTTTATAAAATGGGGCAAAAAAAACTTTTAAAATAAAAAAAAGCTGTTATTTTACAGATTTACCGGCTGCATGGCAACATCATGCTTCCGGTAATTACCGGACGCATGATTTTGCCAATTACCGGACGCATGATTTTGCCATAGCCATGCATGCAGTAATTACCGGAAATCATGATTTTTAAATTTGCATTATTTGACTGTTGTTAGTACAATGGATGAAAACAAACGTAATGACTTTAAAATGAAACTAAAACAAAAACATCTCTGAGGTTAGTAAACCCTGAGCTTTCATGTGCATGCTGTTCGAGAAAATACATCATGCTCCTTACACACCTTATGCAGGCGCGTGCGCAGGGGGGGGGGGGGGGTTAAACCCCCCTAAAAAAAAAGTGCCCCCCCCCCCAAAGCCACTGAACGAAATATCTGACGACGTAATTTTCCAATTTTCGGGGCCAAAACAAAAAATTGCCCTTTGAATTCCTCTTAGGGGCCTACAAGAGGAAATTTTTTATGGTACTTTTTTAAATACCAGGGGTGTTTCACAAAATCCTAAATCGAACTTAACTCTAAGTTGGATTTAGGATCTTTGTGAAACACCCCCTGGTGTTTAGTCATTCGTAGCAGAAACATATACATATGGTATCATTAGACAGAAACAAAGTTACTCTTTACCATGAAATAGATTTATGTTTTTTAATATTTTTTTTGACATGCATTGTACAATCTGACTTTCCTCATTTCAATGTTTCTTCAAACGTTTCACTTCATACTGGGGGGGGGGGGGGGGTATTATACGCTATGGATATATAGTTATGATGGTCTTTCTGTATCAAACTATCAACTGCTTTGTATTCATGTGGTATCCTAAGGAAACGTTGAGTTCTGGGGCCCGTTTCACAAAACTTGTCATCCGTGACAAATGACAGTCTTTGTTAAAAGCTACTGAAATCATTGCTTCTGACACATATCAGTATTGTCAAGCCATGGCCTAGTATGGGTTGATGCTGTTAATGGTGATTGAGGGTGAGATTAAACATTTATTGTCCATTTGAAAATTCTTTTTTTTTATCACTGGTAAATTTTACAGATCAATTTATATAAAGAACTTCAACATCAGATCGCAGATGTTTAATAAACAGGAAAAATACCATGTTATATAGAAAACAATCAGAGTGGGAGTTGTCAAAGGTTCTGAGGTGAGAGGAAAGCAAAGGTCAAACAAAATAAATTATTAAGTTTACAAAACTATAGGGTATAGAGGGTATATAACTATAGAGACTTTCCATTTAATACGCAAATGGACTGCATGTGGCACAACGCTCATGCGGACCTCGGCAACCAGATGATGACAATGTTTAGAGTGGAAGAGACTGTGATATTTTCTGAAATATTAGGACAAAATAATAAATACATCTACTTCCAACCTTGATAGATAGTATATAAAAAAATAAATCATTAGAACTTGAATTGTATTTCATGTAAATATTTTAATTCAATAATCTCTCCAACATCAGTCGTTGTTCAACAATATTGCAATAAAGAATAATAAAATATAATCCATGAAAACATCATTTCTGTCGAATTATTTTACATTTTTAACATAAAATCCATTTGCCTTTCTTGTACACCACTTACTTAAACTCAATACATTCTTAAACATGAAAATTATAATCATATAAATGCACTTTTACATTTGTTCACAATGCAACATAAAATTTAATAAATACAATTGAAAACATAATTTATATCCCACATACGTGAAAACAATTCTCTTTGAAGCTCAGAGCTATCAAATCAATATTTCTATGATACAGTATTGTGAGTTTGTAAGTACGTTAATAAAAGAAAGCCTCCATAATTTGCATAAATCTTGGCAAAAGACAACTTAATCATACTTGAAATACATTTTACGAGGTGCAATAGCTCTGGCAATGAAACCTATCAAGCAGATTATTGGTCATTTACTAATTACCAGTATAAAGCACAACGTGTATTAGTTATGCAAGAGGGATATATTTGTCTTATAAACATTGGGGTCAAGGACAGATTAATCATAGTTCTTTATTGATCAATGTATCTTTTAGGTACCAAAAGGGCTTGAAACAAGCAGTTGTCTTTGTGCCACTAACCACCTACAATCCTGCTGAGCAACCAAATAGTTCTGCCTTTGATTTGATTATTTCATGGGACCTTTGAGAAAAAATAATACAAATAAATGAGCAACAGAAGTTGAAATTAGCAAACTAAGCAGCTGTCCAGGTTGCCCCATTGGCAATCACAAAAGTGTTGAGAGAGAGAGAGAGAGATAAGAGGCCCAATATGTGTTTTGAAAAATAGTTGTCAACCCAAAAAACAAAAACAAAAAATCTTCAATTTGGAGATTTTTTTTGTAAATACTATATGCCGTGAAGTACATTACATTACATTATTACATGTTGCCCATTAACAACACCATAACTTCATACAGGACCACCTTGCTTCAAATTAATTAATATTGTGTCTGTTTGGAGCCAGAAGGGCATTAACCCATATGCTTTAAAACACACAGTAAATGCCCTTCTGACTCTCAACAGACAATTTCTCTAATTCACTGACGACATAGCGTTTTACAATACAACAAAAACTTACAATAAACTATCTGTGGACTACATATTCAATGCATTTCATATGAAATAATACCATTATCAAAATATAATGTGGATAGAACTTAATAGTAAACATGATATTTCAAACACATGTTCAAGGGAAATATAATCTTCACTCTGTCATACATATATAGAAATTTGAATTATTTCTAGCAGCCTTGGATTAAAATTCAACCTGTAAGTACACAAGTGTATAAGGTTTTATTAAAAAAAATATGATGTAATATTGAATTAATTAAACACAAAATCTTGCTTTCATTTTCATATAAAATTCTCAATATGAGATAATGTACATAGAATAAGTCTCATGATATCTGTGTTCATCAGACAAGAAAGTTGATTCTTTGTAAATTAATGTAAAATTTAAGGCTAGAGAAACATTAAGAATCTGCTAAATTTATTGTGTATAAAAAAAATAAACCATTTTCAAATGCATTCAACTTTTGACATGTTTCCGTAGCAACAAGCTATAACAATCGCCTCTTATATATTATTGTAACTCAATAAAATGCAAATTGCATACATTACTTGTTGCTAGGTCAGATAAATATTTTGGGGTGTCTTACCAAACATAACAACATTACAAAAACAGCCCACTAAATCAACAGTTTTCCATGTATTACAATTAATAAACTGAGCTTTTCATCTCAAAATGTGATATTATCTGTTTTCAAAGTGTTGTTCATCGTTATAAAATCAAACATTTTGATGAACTGAGCATACATTCTTGAGCACGTCGCTCCAAAATTGATACCCGATGTATTCTGTGTACAAAACAAAAGGAAAACTATGCCATACATTACTTAATCGCTTTTGAGGCACTATTTGTCATCTGCTCTACATAAACATCAATCAAGATGAACAATCCATTTTTACAAAACTTACAAACTATATAAAAAAAAACATTTTGGTCAAACATAGAAATAATAAATATCAAATTTTAAAAACAAAGAATCAAATTGCTCTGTTTAATTATTTTCTATACATATAAATGTTCAAAAGAAAAATGGTAGGTTTATAATTGAAATATCAGTATAAAAAAAAAGATGTACAAGTACATGAAGACTATTTTTCAAGCAATTCTTGAGGTATATGCCAAATGTCATGGCAATCAGGTATTTCATACCATGATGCAGGGAGGGGTAAAGGGTAGGAAGAGGGGAGGGGGCAGTGGACTACATATGCAATGCATTTCATATGAAATAATACCATTATCAAAACATAATGTTGATCGAACTAAATAGTAAACATGATATTCCAAACACATGTTCAAGGGAAATATAACCTTCACTCTGTCATACATATATAGAAATCTGAATTATTTCTAGCAGCCTTGTATTATAATTCAAAACACTGCTAGAAATACTTCTAGATTGTGTGGTGCTTCAAAATTTTCAAATTACATAAAGGAAACTATAATCTATCAGAAAGTGATACAAAATTGACGCTTGATCAACCTGATCAAATACACCTCACGTTTATTGAGCTCTAAATGAAAATCACACCATGCGACTTTTGGTGGTTTTGTGGTGCCTGCTCACACTTGGTGTCCAATATGTCACAAAGTTTTACAGAGTTATGGACAGACAAGGACCTTGAATCTGTCATTACATTTCATATGTGGTCTGAACCATAAAGCTCTAGTGTGACAATTAACTGATACAATAATCAGATATACTAAATTCTTAGATCTGGTCTGTAACGTACAGCTTGGACTTGCTATAATAGATCTACTGGAATATTGTGGAAATTCTTGGTGACCTGAACGGATCGGTTTACAGTATAGTACAAATTAAAGCCTACAGATTACAGGACCACTGATGATCTTTTGAACGTGGAGAGGTCTCGCTTTGTGCAGTTGTGAAAAGTTACTCCCAAAATGACGGAGGTAGTTCATGGATAAGTCTCGCTTCCAATTTTGAAAAGAATACTTCCACCAGTGCACCATGGAATGCAGCATGAAGTAATGATTACATAACTTTATATGCACTTATCCAGTATATGTCTTGGTAAGTTTTTACGATTTGATACAACCAATCTTAATCTGATCAGGGGCAGATTGCATCTCCAAACTAGCTTAACATCCAAGGCAAAAAGAACACTAACTCTTTACAGGCTGTGGTCGACCTATGAAACAAACAGTGGATCGCTACGTTTCACCTTTGACATACATACTATGTGTATGCAAAACATAGCCACAATGTATCAGTGGAGGATTTCAATCCATTATGGACAAAGAATTAGTGGACACTTAAAGCCTATCTGCACTAGTTTGGCCAAAAGGGATTAGACCTCCCTGCATGGTCACCAATAGGTGGTTATCTCATCAAATCAACTCTCAACTAACATAAGAAAAAGACGATCATGGGGGACCAATGGTCACCGCTTAGGCATTGTTTGCTATACAGAGGGCGCAAGTAGCTATAAGTAGTGCCGTGGGGCTTTAAACATTGAGAGGGGAATCATACGATCTCTTCCGACTCCAGACCACCTGTTTCATAATGATCTTTGAGGATGGCAGTGAGTTTGGCGAGTCCTCCGACACACTCCTTGAGGTCTGCTAAGATGATGCTCTCAAAGTCTTGTCTCTCGGCATCCTCTTTGTGCACCGCTAAGAACTGGAGGAAGTACTCCATAGATGGGACTGCCTTCGCTGCAAGCTGCAGGAACAAGATGAAAGTGGAAAACAATTATTGCAATTCTGAAATTACAATTTGGCATCATCTTAATATCATAAGCAGCTAACAAACAACATTATAATTGCATTTTAATAACCCTTACATTTCTACTCGGCTTATAACCATACAATATGTTCCACTTTAGAAAGCCAATTTTCAAATGAAAAAAACTATTAAATTTCTTGGAAGATGACATAGCTTACATGAAATTTTTTTTTTTTCCCTTGATGAATAAATGTCTCACAGTGAATATTGGAAGAAAATTAAAAGAAATAATAATCTCCAAAAACAGATTTTTCAAGTACCATAGCAGTGGTTACATCAATAATGAACATATTGCTATCATTTACTTTGCAAATATAGGAAAACATAGACTTGTCATATTTGTTGCTCATATAACATGTATAACTAGATGGAATTTTGACTGCGCGCATAAAGCAATTTTTAAAATTCAAGTTTGATTGTAATCCATCTGTCAGTTTTAATGATAATGCACTCACAAGCTATTTATAGGCATACATAATGAACTCCATGACCTTTGACCTGATGACCCTAAAATCTAATCAGTTCATTGGCTCTTGATCTTGAGTTTGATAGTAATCTGTCTATTGGTTCTCATGATAAAGCGATCACAAGCTATTTGTGCATACATAATGAGCCCTGTGACCTTTGACCTAGTGACCCCAAAATCTAATTACGTACATACGGACGGACGGACAACCAGAAAACATAATGCCTCCGGCTACTTTGTAGCAGAGGCATAAAAACACATTATGTTACACATTTTGCACATACATTATAAAAACATATTTATCATACAATTTGTATATATATATATATATATATATATATATATATGTAGATGACTACTTACTGCAAAAACACCTCTTACTACCCAGCCATGGTATTTCTTCAACGTTCTCCCGTAGGCATTTGCTAGCGAAGAAAGAGAGAGAGAGAGAGAGAGAGAGAGAGAGAGAGGTAGACATCTTATGCCTTAAATATAATCATTTCTGTCTGCAAATAGACCCTCATTTGTTACCTTGACTTGGATTTACAACAGGAGCAAATTTCTATTTAAGGCAGTGTATTTTTGCCTAATAACAAAACTTTATCTCTGTCAAAATGTTTATTTAAACTTTCTATTAAACAAGTTGCATTCTACAAAGGTTTGTCCAAATGCATGAACATATATCTATCTGTTCGTTTTACGATTAGTCACACGTGGTAATCGACATCCTGAAGCAACATATCATGAATGTGTGGGTTTCTTTTCAGTCATAAACATGAAACAAACCAGCCATTAGGCAAAACTACAATATCAATATATTTATTGACAAGTTCGGTCAGAAATTTTCAATGGATGTATGATTTTGGGGCCCCCTTATTTCCTCAATGATAACATTGATAAAAGAATGATTATTTCTATCTCTACAACTAAAATGACGGTGATATCACAATATATTCTGCCTTTACAGAGCTTACATCACACACTTCTAAAACCATCACCCTGGCTACATATGACATCCTTGAGCTGCCAACATTAGGCAACAACTGTCTTGGAAAATCTTTAAAAAATATCATTTATTGACAAATTGAAAACATGATTCTTTTAAAATTGCAAATAAAAACATGATTCAAGACCGAAATACGAATGTAAGTAGTACTTTTCTTCACAGATAATTACGTTTAGAGCAGTTTTTTAATGTGAAATTTGTGCTGGTTGGAAGCAGAAGTCCTCCGTGCTGATCGGGCCTGGCCAGCCGGCCCGCCCAGTGCCGACCGCAGTGGCTATAAAGCTGCTTGCTATAATATTACCGAACCCCAAACCGAACCAAGTTCGGGTGAAAAATTGCCGAACTCTGACGAACCGAACCGAACACGAACATAGCGTCCGACTTACAGCACTACTCAGAACCATTCAATTACCAGTAACCCCACTCTTTATGTAATTAATCTGAACTCATTTCCAATGTCAGTTGCAAAACAAAAATATTAACTAGCATTATTCTTTCCTGAAAATTCTCTAATTGTTAGGTTTCATTATCATAACAAAGATGCTATATCACAGCTTAATATGTTGACTCTCAAAGAAGCGTTGGCCATAAAATAGTTTTTTTTTGCCATAATTTTGTATCTTATCATCTCATCTTTGAATGCATTCTCGCGTTATATAATCATTGTTCTAACATCGCTATGTCTTTCATGTGCTTTTATAGTAAACTGAATGTAATTCAGGCTTCGGGCTGCCATTTTCAATATTTTCAATAAACCATGAAATACAATTAAATAAGTCCATGAAGACTGACAGTTAATAGCTAAACCTGTGGTAATGATATGTATACTGATGAGGCTACCCTGGGTAAATAATAGTTATATCTTCATGAACAGAATAAAGACTTACTTGCTGCAAGGTTCATGTCTCTCTCTCCTGTCAGGATCTCACTTAAAAACTCTTGGATGAATTCCAGTGTTCTGTAAAAAATAAATAAATCAGGAAATATTAGAGGAGAAAGCTGTATGAACTGCTACAATCTAAAATTTAATGTCATCTGCCGATTACCACACATGAGATTAACACACATAATTTCACAGCCAGTTTTGGACAGGACTTTACAAAATAATTTGAGAAACTTAGAGGTTTGAAAACTCCTGGAATACAACCATCAAAAGTACATTTGTCTTAATCATTGTCAGACATCCATGAGTTACTGTGGTCGTAATTACGATCATGGATATGTAATTTTCAACAACAAAAATATAAAACACAGACACATTTTTAATCTAAATGGTAATGAGGACAAAGGAATACTGGACATTTGAGGGAACAATCTAGATACTTAAAGCAAATCTAATTTGGAAGTCTGCAAATCTCCTCACCCACATTCTACTTTGAGGTACCAAACTGATAATGGACAACAAATATTTACTTTCACAATCTCTTTACATAAAGCCAGACTTATGAAATAAAATTGAAAATGATGCAACAGGGGACGTTTCACAAAACTTGTCATCAGTGACAAATGACAGTTTTTGTTATAAGCTACTGAAATCCTTGCTTCTGATTGGTTATCAGCAGATTTGTCACTGATTTTTGTCATTTGTCTTTAAAGAAAGGCTTTGTGAAACGCCCCCCCCCCCCCCCCCCGATCTCTACCTACCTCCTTAGCCACATGAGGGCATCTGTCGCTGAGTTCTTGACCTGCGTGGTCTTGGTCCGTACTTCTTGCTGGACCATCGCTTGGAGCTTCATGAACATCTCAGGGTCACTACTCAGCTTCTGACGAAGTTTCTAGCAATTCATTAAATAAAAGGGGATAAAATCCTTAACTTTATTCCTTTATGATCATTTATGATATATTCGGTCTGCATGTGGAAAGGGTGAATAAATAACATCAGCTAACTCACTTCTTGTCCATTTGGAAATTTGTTTTGTTTACATACATATGGCAAATTATAAGAGCAGAACAGATTATGTATTATCAGAATGTACATGTCTACAAATGATATGAGATTAATTCTTTAAAAAAGAAGTATTATCAGAAATGCATGAGACACAAGTTTCATATTTTCTTGTGCCTTGTAAAGATATAGATCCATCCTCCTATAAAACCTTGTGGTTCAAACTGAACAATACTAGGTATATGAATCAAGGTATCAATAAGACATGTAGACTAATCATGGTCTACTTCCTTCCTTGTCCTTTAAAGCCTGTCTGCACTAGTTTGGCCAGGGGGGTTAGACCTCCCTGCAAGGTCACTGACAGGTGGTTATCTCATCAAATCAGCTCTCAATTAAAATAAGAAAAAGTGGATCACGGGGGACCAACAGGCACCGATTAGGCATTGTTTGCTATATAGAGGGCGTAAGTAGCTATAAGTAGTGCAGTGGGGCTTTAATAACACAGATACCTTACTGGCCCAACTAGAGAAGACAGAGATAGCTTTACATCATCAAACATGTATTCATACCCTTATGTTTCCATTGACATCCATTTTAACAGGTGCAAATGCAGTTGGGCTTAGGGCATCTACAGAAGAAGAAAAAATAGAGAAGAGAATAATTAATGGTGTTGTTATATGCTAGAGAAATATTCTAACAAACAAGAATAGATTTAAGTAAAGATCAATCAAGTTCTCTCTGATTCAAATCTCAAACAGTTCGAGTACGGTTTCAAAAGTAAGAAAAAAATCTCACCCTTTGCAATCTAAAAGTGAACAAGGAAATTCAGCTTATACTTCTGCATTGAAAATCAGTCATGATCTTGGTCATGGAATTGGAAACAATGATTTTATGTCACTAACAACAAAAAATAACAACAACAAACAAACAAACAAATATATCATCAATATCTTTGTAATTCAGACTGACTATAATTTGGAGGGTAAATTAGTATTGTCTGAGGGGTGAACTAATCCTTCTGAATTAATCTTAGTCTCTGAATAGAAAGAACTAACACTACAGTCTATCAAGGAAAATGAGTATGGTAAAACCAGTCACTCAAAGATTTTCACTTTTTTGAGACACTTCATGATCATTTTGAAGCACAATTTTTGTTTAGTGCTTCAATATTACACCATATCACAGAAACTGGAAACATTGTTAAACAATGCCTTTAATTAGAACCAGAGATTTCATTTTCAGAATGGCACAAGTTCTTACCGAATACTCCAACTATACAAGTACAGGCATCAAGGAATGGTTGAGTAGGTATACTGTTATCAGGTGGTACTTGGATATCAGAAAATCTAAAATTGAATAGGTGGTGCAAAGCATGAAAATTTAGAGAACCAACATAGATAGAAGATTCCATGGTCTTTCACTCTGCAAATTTTTTGTACGAAATGGTAATCAGGAAATAAAGCTATTAAAAAGAGTGGCAAGTAATTGCTACTTAACATCTAAAATCAAAGAAATCTGACAATACGAATTTGCGGAATTTACCAAAACTATGCATAGCCTTTAAGTAGTATTGTGTTACAGCAGTACTTTTAATTAAACCCTACAACCCTCATTTTACCCAAACCCTAACCCTAACTTTAACCCTAACCCTATCCCTACACTAAAACCAACCCGCCCTCTAACCCTAAACCTTACCCTAAACCTGCAAAAACTGACTGTTTTTGCAGCGGTCCGAGTTAGCCTGATTCCAATATAAGATATCCCAGGAATATATGAAATCTATTTGTACATCCCTCCCTCGACACTTGAAAGTGTCATCTTCTTAAGTCTCAGATGCAAGGAGACCACTAAGATGAATACAAGCTTCATAAACTGTGCTAGTCCTGGGGGTGTTTCACAAAGATCCTAAGTTAAACTTATCTCTAAGTTGGACTTAACAATTATGGATACCCATCAGCATCCTTGAAAATATTTTGTAAAAGTTATTTTAAAAGGCATATTTTCTTTTATCATGGGAGATTTTATGTTCTTGATGTGGAATTTATGAAAAGTCTAAATACTTGAACTTTTGCTTTTGAATATATTTCAAAATAAGGCTACAAATGGCTCTCCATAACTTTTAAGTCTAACTTAGGATCTTTGTGATACACCCCCTTTGTCCTAGAATCTCACTTACTTGGCCGAGAGCTCTGAGAAGAATGTAGGTACTCTCGCTTCCATGGTGGACGATGGACTCGCCCCATTCACTACCACCGGTGTCTCCTGGACCGTGGGTGTGGTCGGCTGAGAGAGCGATCTCTTGGTCTCGTTGTTAGGTGTCGACGCTATGGCGGCTTGTACCCCTTCCTGACTACTGATGCTGGCTGTTCGACTGGTGGGGCGAGAGCGAGGAGTTGAGCGAGCTGCCATGTCTTCAAGGTTGCGGTAGCGTGTTGTGACGCCGAGCTTGGTGGTCGAATGTGGAGTGTACCTGGGTGTAAGAATGACAGACGTAACATATCAGACTGATTCTCATGAGTGAATCCTATCTGGTTAATACTATTGGAAAGAGGGTATTCAAAATGACATGACGCAAACGACCTGTCTACCCTATACCCTACTAAGTCCCAGGCTTTAGAAGCCCCCCCTCTACATTTTTCACAAAATTTTGTAACGCCAAAGAATCTTGTGCTGAAAATTTATGACTTTTCTCTTTCGAGTCTTACGCATCTTTTGAAATAAATTTTTTGAAAATTGGACATATCGTTACAAAGTTTGGTGATCTTTTGTCTTTGCATGGCAGCCTGAAAATTGCTCATTTTCGTGATTTGTGTACAAAGAATATGGAAATCTCATGTTTCAAAAAAAGAGATATAACATTGGTTATTTGGTCTTGTTTATAGTTTAGGTGTTTATTTTGGGGTTCAAAATAGTTGAATTACATTTAGAATTAAAATAAAACAACAAAAACAATAAAATACATAAATTAAAAAAAACTTTTTGGTGATATTATTATCCCAAATGGTCTAAAGTATATATGTAGTGAAAACTAATGTTGAAATATCAAGTATATATGATTTATGGGTAAAAATTGTATTACCTTATTTTTCATAAATTGCGTGGTCACTGACAGGTGCTTATCTCATCAACTTGGCTCTCAATTAACATTAGAAAAAGAGGATCATGGGGGACCAACAGGAACCGCCTAGGCATTGTTTTCTATATGGAGGGCGCAAGTAGATATAAGTAGTGCAGTGGGGCTTTAAGACCGTAAGGTACCTTTCGCATGCTAATTACAACTATATATCCCCTTGAATACTAACCTGTCTTCGACTGATATAGACCTCTGAACTCCTGACTTTTTCTACAGAATAGGAAACATGGACACACACACAAAAGAGGTTAAGGTTTACATAGAATCTTATGCGGGTAATAATAATAATAATAATACAAATGATTTATAAGGCGCCAAATCCACTTGACAGTCAAATGCTCAAGGCGCAAGAACGTAATTGACTTCCATACATCTTACAAATACATTTCAGACCCGGAATTAGTTACTGATTCCCATGTGAGCCTTGCTTTGATTTTTTACCCTTCCATATACTCTTATGTCATATTGGACACATTGGACACACGATGCTGATAAATCTTCATATGCACAGAAAAAAGAAAAGCTTAACTGACCTTGTCAGAGAATGGCGTCGAGGGTGGCAGTACGGTGTTGCTGATATCCATGTTGTTGATATTTGGAATGAAGGATTCCTTGGCAAGCTTCATACAGTCCTGTAACGTCATGATGAAGGTGTCGCAGGTAGCAGAGAGTAATGAAGATGACTCGTTCAGTTTCTTCAGAAGAGGAAACAAAAATTTACAAAGAGGCAGTAAGCATCTGATTGATATTGGGCAGACAATGTCAGAAAAGTATTTGTACAAAAATGTTGAATATCTTTTCTAAAGATCATGATGTTGACAAATAAAATATCTTAAATAACTAAAGTTACTGTAGTGATGATTGTGATTGCATTGCTAATGATAACTTCAGTGATATTGATGAAGAAGGCTATAACTGATTTTCAACACATAACATTAGAAGCTGATAACAGTGGGTCTTAGCATCACTGTTATCAATGACAGGGGTGATAGTGAAAACTAAAACAAAGGGGGGGGGGTGGGGTTTCCCTCAACCACGCCCCTCTGAGTAGAAAAGAGAAAAAAGAAGAGGATTCGGGGGGAAACATGGCATATAACAACATTCCCCCCTTTTGAGTGAGAAAATTGGGAAAAAATAGGGGGGGAAAGGGGAAAATCTGGGAAATCGAGAAGAAAAAAAAACCCTCTAAAAACAGGACAAAATAAAAAAATCTGGAAAAAATATATTTTTTTAAATTAAAAAATAGGGAAACCGATTTAAATCGGGTAATTATCAGGCCTGTAATGATCAATGTCAGCAAAGTTAAATGATAGCTGTAGTGATGATATCATAATTGGTAGTTATCATAAGCTCATGACCTGTATGCCCCATTTGCAGGCCGAAAAAATGAAAGGTTATATTCCAACGGCATTTGAAGATAATACTAATTTAGAACTTTCCTGAAAAAAGGGGGGCTTGAAACTGTCTTTAAGTGGGAAAATAACGACTATTACTTGTAGAATCGACTTGAGTGATCGCAATCCAGTGAGTTCTAGTCTTGATTTTCAGACCCTTGTACTGAATGGTCGTACATTTTGTGCTGTGTAAAGATTCAATCAGTTTAATTTTGGCCATTACAAGAAGTGGGTTATTGGTTTAGACAAATGCTCATCATCTTTTCAGCTCATTTCTGTATGGTATTACCAAAAACAAACAAAAAAGTCAGTCAGTCAGTCAATAGTGTCTGACAGTGAAGTCTAGAAAGTAAACAGGTTTCCTTGCATAATATTAGTACACTGCAAATGTTTAATTTCACAGATAGGACATACGTGACATATTCATAATTCCTGCAAACTTCTCCAGAATTTGATTTTGCCCGCAAATGGGACATAGTACCATTAACAAATAATTGGGACAATTAAACAACAGTAATAGAGGTAATTATATCAAAGACGTGGCGGATACTGATGATGAAGGAGCAAGGAACTTTTGTTTGCATTTTATAGTCAGTCACACTAGATACTAGAAATCAAAGCTCAACTTTGAAATAAACCTTGAAGTAAACAAAGTCATCAGAGTTTGTATGGACTTTGACATATGCTCTCAGAGATTATCATATCTTTATCAGCGTACATCTACCCAGGACACAATGCCCAATTCAATGAATTCCACACACCTCGATATCAGGGGGTACCATTTCTGAAGATCCAGCTGCCTTCACACTGGCTACTTGCTGGGTCAAAAGGTCGCAGTACAGTCTGAGCTCCGACATCTTAGTACGTAACGTGTCTTCTGATTCCTCTGTAAGATATCAGGAAAGATGTAAGAAGGAATATGAGTGGGCATGAAAAGATGCTGCTGGAATGCAAAACGCGTAATTGTGAACAATTTTGAAACTTGAAACTTGAAACTTTGAAACAATTTCATGGCAAAGAGGTAGAACCATATCATCAGGATACGGAGCTGGTCAAGTACATCTATGACCTTGATTAGGGAAAAACAATATAAAAACTGTGATTCATAGCTGTCAAATTACAACATTTGATTCACTAATATCACTAACAAAAGTAACAATTATGGCTTTTGTGTTCCGTAAGGATCTTCTTGTGCCATTACCTTTCACTTTTAAAGCTACCTATCATAAAACAATACTGTATTCTCATATCGTCATATGTTTGTATCACAATCACAAGTAAAGGTATCATATACACTGTATATGCTTTGAAAAGTTGACCGGAAGGATGAAGGTCAAGGGTTCTATGCCCTGGAACAACCCTCATACCCCCATTACAAAACTAGGTAGTTGGGGACTAATAAAGATGCAGAAGTTATATAATATGTTTAGTTGTAAAATGTAAAATGGTGAACAAAATATTTGGAGAACAAACATTTGTTCAACGAGTAGCGTTTAGGAATCCTTTAAAACATGATGTACTTAATTGTGCCATTGGACTGTATGGCCAACAGAACTATTAACTACTGGGTATTATTTTCATCACTTATCCTTTAAAGGGAAATCCGACCCAAACAGACAACTATTCTAAACGAAAGCAGAAAAATCAGAGAATCAAACTAATGAGAGTTTCAATTAAATCTGACTAAATATAAGAAATTTATGAATTTTTAAAAGTTGTAATCACTATACGCAAGGGAACTTCAAATTAGCTGTTGTCAATGTGATATAGTGCAGAACTACTTTTCCATGTGTTCCAGCATATAAAATGATGAAACTTTAAATTTTTCAAAAACTCATTGCTCAGGAGGGTTTATTCTTTTTAGAGGACCTATAAAGGCTAAAACAGTATGCTATCCATAATATATCTTAAGCAGTGCCCCAAGGGAGAAGAAACTTACGAGAAAAACAGAAATTAGTAATATTTTTGTACACGGCAAATGGGAGAGTTATCCACATCCTGTACGTCACAATCCACCAACCAAACTACCAATTTGAGTTTCACATAGACTTAGTGATAGACTTCCATTTCTGTTATTTTTCTGCTTTCATGCAAATCTACCTATTACAAGGGTTGGATTGCCCTTTCATATGGAACAGGGTTATCCTTGACCTTGACTGACCTTTCTTCTGGTGGTTTTTGGAGTCAGCAAGACAGGCTTTGGCCGACCCTAGGGCAACCAGCCACCTCTGACGGTCAGCAGGGGTCGCCCCTCGGACGTAGAAGTGCTGCTCTCCTGGAATGATTAAGTCTAGTCTGGTTTCATCTGTACCGTGCACTGCAAGAACAAAACAAATGAGGATTAGAGTAATACACAATACACATGTATAAATTCAAAGCTGGATATTCTGTCCATGAGGGAATGTACAGTTGAAACTTTTATATCCCCTCCTCTAATAATTGTGTGCAATGTATTCATCAAACATTCAAAACATTAAAGAGAGTGTAGCCTGACGAGACTATGTGTCGGACAACGCAACCGCAGCAATCATATGCGTGCAACGTAAGCAAAACCGAAGCGTGAGGAGAACTTCAGTCTGTTTCGTGGACGCTGACCATGTAGAGATTAAGTCGCTGACTACTGTTAATCAAGTCAATTCTTATATGTGCAGACATAGATGACGTTAACCAGAATTGCCAAGCTACACTCCCTTTAAACCATATTTTATGATAGCTAGGTGAATATTTGAAATTGGCTTAAATAGTTTTATTGGAGTCTCATATTGGTAATACATTCACGTAACTGTGATGCCATTGGAAGTTATTTCTTGATTTGTTATGTACAAACTTTAAAATGAAAACAGTCCGTACAAGTTCATGAAGGGAATTTTTTAAGTTGGGAAATATCATATTACCTATGTATACTACAGCTTGAGGAGGGTTGATAAAAATGGATTACATTTTAGAATGATTCTAGATTACTAATTTGATTCATTTGAATTAAAACCCAATTCAAATCACACACACAAACAAACAAGAACTAAAAAAATATTATAAAATGTGAGCACTACCTCAGACATGACTGAAAATAAAAACAATATTTTTTAAAATTATCTCTCACTTAGGCCAATCTATATACCTATTTTAGCTATTTATATTTTCATTCTATTATTTTTTTTTAAACCATGGTAAGTTCCCCTTGAGCATTTGACTGAAAAGTGGATTCGGCGCCTTATAAATCTTTTGTATTATTATTATTATTATTATTATTAAAATATAATGACCTATATTATTCTCATGTTAAGTGACAATAGCATGTAGGCAAATTATATGTTTATTTTTATCTATTTATTATCATTATTTTTTCTTCTTTTTTCTCACTTACCTTGGATTTCACAGCAGGCCATTTTGACAGAGCCTTTACAGCCCTGCTGCATCTCATCTTGTGATTTGTAATAGGTCAGGATGCCCTTGTCTAAAACAAACCATCGTGGCTGCCAACCTGAGAAGAAAAAAAATTCAGTTTAAAATAAACATGTACATGTATCAATAAAATTAATGTTCATACTGTTTAAAGCCACAGCCAAAGATCTGATCTGTCTTTGAAGATTTGAATTTACTGATTCATTGGTCTGAAAAAAGAAATTTGTTTTCCGTTTCTTACATTACAAAAAAATAATGTTTCATAACACATTAACATGAATGTACTAGAGTGACTTCCTATAATATTAGCAAGAATTGGTCAATGGCAGAATATACTTGAGGAAAGGAAAAATGATAATCTGAATACTTCATTTTCATTTTGAATACCGGTACTCTATTTCTGGGAGAATTAATTTGCGAAGACCATGAATTGAAAACTTTGGCAAATGCAAGTCATTTCAACAAGCTTTGGCCAAATGAGTACTTTAAAGGGGGTGTAGAATGGCACATACTGATTAACGCCATCTTCAACTTTTTTTGGACAACTGCATGTTAATGAATGGACTTGATTAACGGTCAGCACGCGCTAGCGTTCGCGAAACATAACGTAGTTCTCCTCACGCTTCAGTTTTGCATATGCTGCACGCACGTGTATACTGCGGTTGCGTCGTCCGTAGTCGTATTATACCTGTTTAGCCCTGAGTCAGGCCACAGGAAAGACACGTAGTCTCGTCATGCTACAACCCGTTTACTACATAGTACATATCAAATCATTCAAGAAAAATTCTTGATACTAATTAATGTCCATGTGAAACATAGAAATATTACCATAAACAAATTTGGCTTTAGTAACAAAGCCAAAAATTATCCAGACACAAAATTTGTTTTCAAATTTGCATGCCACCAGAACCATCGCAAACTCACATGAAAGGTCAATGTTTTGTAAGGTAAATCGCATGGTAGCTCATTATCATTAGGAACACGTGGAAGGTAAGCAAATCGCTATCACTCCAGTAAAAAAAAAAAATCTTGCCCACTTTTCAAAGTGCTTTGTATGAGAAGAAAGCCAGTGTGTAAGGTTCTTCTGGTGCAGGAAGGGGCGACTACGAACGCAAGTAAGGTTTTGATTACATCACTCTTCATGCAAGACCTACTACATTTATGAAAGGAAAACAGAACATGAGGCCATACCCTGAAACTAGAGAAGAAATTTTCACACCTCGACATTGACAAAAGCTGTGATAACGTCATTACGAACTTGTAGCTCGTGCAGTTTTTCCTTCATAATCATTTTGCCTTGCGCGTAGACTATTAGAAGGGATGAGATTTAGATGACGTCATGCGCAGCGAGAGTTTAAAAGACGGCTGCAAGATTTTCAACATGGATGTCGATTTTGACCCATAATTTCCCGAAAAGGGACCATTAAACAGATTTATTCATGTCAGACAAGTTGGTAAGTGGAACCGGTCTAGACCTCTAGAGTTCTAGGCCTAATTTACAAAATGAAATGCATCAGATATGTACGGAGCCCCGGAAGTGACATGGAGAAATTTTTTTTCTTCTTGTTTTCCTGAGATAAATTCTCGTTTTCCTGAGATAATTTTTCGTTTTCCTGAGATAAATTCTCGTTTTCCTGAGATAATTTTTCGTTTTCCTGAGATAATTCCCGTTTTCCTGAGATAAATTCTCGTTTTCCTGAGATAATTTTTCGTTTTCCTGAGATAATTCCCGTTTTCCTGAGATAAATTCTCGTTTTCCTGAGATAAATTCTCGTTTTCCTGAGATAATTTTTCGTTTTCCTGAGATAAATTCTCGTTTTCCTGAGATAATATTTCGTTTTCCTGAGATAATTCCCGTTTTCCTGAGATAAATTCTCGTTTTCCTGAGATAATTTTTCGTTTTCCTGAGATAAATTCTCGTTTTCCTGAGATAATATTTCGTTTTCCTGAGATAATTCCCGTTTTCCTGAGATAAATTCTCGTTTTCCTGAGATAATATTTCGTTTTCCTGAGATAAATTCTTGTTTTCCTGAGATAATATTTCGTTTTCCTGAGATAAATTCTCGTTTTCCTGAGATAATATTTCGTTTTCCTGAGATAATTCCCGTTTTCCTGAGATAAATTCTCGTTTTCCTGAGATAATATTTCGTTTTCCTGAGATAATTCCCGTTTTCCTGAGATAAATTCTCGTTTTCCTGAGATAATTTTTCGTTTTCCTGAGATAAATTCTCGTTTTCCTGAGATAATATTTCGTTTTCCTGAGATAATTCCCGTTTTCCTGAGATAAATTCTCGTTTTCCTGAGATAATTTTTCGTTTTCCTGAGATAAATTCTCGTTTTCCTGAGATAATATTTCGTTTTCCTGAGATAATTCCCGTTTTCCTGAGATAAATTCTCGTTTTCCTGAGATAATTTTTCGTTTTCCTGAGATAAATTCTCGTTTTCCTGAGATAATATTTCGTTTTCCTGAGATAATTCTCGTTTTCCTGAGATAAATTCTCGTTTTCCTGAGATAATATTTCGTTTTCCTGAGATAAATTCTCGTTTTCCTGAGATAATATTTCGTTTTCCTGAGATAAATTCTCGTTTTCCTGAGATAATATTTCGTTTTCCTGAGATAAATTCTCGTTTTCCTGAGATATATATTTCGTTTTCCTGAGATAATTCCCGACCAACACATGTTGCATAACTTTCGAAACCCCAGACATCGTTTGTTATATGATCACAGATTTCCCGATTTTCTTGATCGATTTTAATTTGTTTAAAACTTGAACATTTCATAGCTTTCTTATTTCATATCCGATTTTCCTCAAACTTTTATTAATCACTTTGTCTTATTTGTCTCCTTTTATTAAAATATAGATATTCTTAGGGTGGCCTTCCCCTTTAAGGCCCTTTTGGAATTGATAATTATCTTCATAAATATATCGAATTTCGACAATTGAATGTTGAGACCTACAAGGTGATGTGAATAACTGAATACCAGGCGCGGATCCAGGGGGGGGGGGGGCCGAGCGGGCCTTGGCCCCCCCCCCCCCCCCCGCAAAAAAAAAAAAAAGAGAGAGAAGAAAGGAAAAGAAGGGAAAGAGAAAGAAGAGAAAAAGGGAAAGAAAGAAGAGGAAGAAGAAAAGAAAAGGGGGAAGAAGGAGATTGGGGAAGGCGAAAGGGCCTTGCCTCCCAGGCTGTTGACCCCCCCCCCCCCCCCCAATCAACAAAATAAGAGAGAAGGAAGGAAAGGGAAAGAAAAAAGGAAAAGAGGAGATACTGGCGTACTGATAGGGGGGGCTTGGGGGAAATCAAATTCAAACGTGGTTTATTTCTAATTCCACAACGGTGGATTACAAAATAATGCTGAAATGACATAATTTCCGAGATTTTTCCTCACTTTTTAGTTGATTCCTACTTGTCAGGGCCCGAGGTACGGCGGGGATCGGGAGCCCCGAGCCCCCCTACTTTTTTGAAAAAGTATATTAAAGAGAAATAAAATAGAATGAGAGCAAGAAAGAAAGAATAGTTAACTGCCAGTGTTGAAAAATAATGAGGCATCAAAATATGCTCATCTGACCGTGATTAATGCCTAAAACCCCTAAGCTTCCAGGGGCTCTGCCCCCTGGATTTCACCTAGGGCCCTACGGCGGGCCCTTAGATGCTCATCTGACGGTAATTTAATGCCTAAAACCCCTGATATTTTGGGGCTCCGCCCCCTGGACCCCACGCCAAATAGTGACGTGCCAGTCTCACAAAATAATAAGGTATACAAAAAAATGCTCATCTGACCTTAATTAAACGCCTAAAACCCCTGAGCTTCCGGGGCCGGCTCCGCCGCCTCGACCCCCCCCCCCCCCAGGGGCCCTAAGACGGCCCCCGATTCAGACAAGGATTAAGAGTATAGAGAACGATACAACGCATCGTCTTCTTTCTCTAATAATATAATGAAACGTCAAAGCTTCGCGCAGGAGGGGAGGGGGGGGGGGGGGGGACTGAATTCAGACAAGGATTAAGAATCGAGAACGGTACAACGAATCGTCTTCTTTCTCTCATAATCTTATGAAACGTCAAAGCTTCCGCGCTTCGCGCGGGAGGGGGGGGGGACCTGAATTTAGACGAGGATTCAGAGGCGAGAACGGTAATACGAATCTTTAATGATTTAATGAAAGGTAAAAGCTTCCGCGCTTCGCGCGGGATGGAGGGGGAACTAAATTCCGATGAGGATTATTTTCGAGAACGGTACAACGAATCGTCTATTTTCTCTAATGATTTAATGAAACGTAAAAGCGTCCGCGCTTCGCGCGGGAGGAGGGGGTTGGGGGAGAATCTAAATTCAGACGAGGATTATTTTCGGAAACGGTACAACGAATCGTCTTCTTTCTCTAATGATTTAAGGAAATTTAAAAGCTTCCGCGCTTCGCACGGGAGGGGGTAACCTAAATTCAGACGAGGATTAAAAGTCGAGAACTCGACAACGAATCGTCTCCTTTCTCTAATGATTTAAGGAAATTTAAAAGCTTCCGCGCTTCGCACGGGAGGGGGGAACCTAAATTCAGACGAGGATTAAGAGTCGAGAACTCGACAACGAATCGTCTCCTTTCTCTAATAATTTAATAAATCGTAAAAGCTTCCGCGCTTCGCACGGGAGGGGGGAACCTAAATTCAGACGAGGATAAAGAGTCGAGAACTCGACAACGAATCGTCTTCTTTCTCTAATAATTTAATAAATCGTAAAATTTTCCGCGTTTCGCGGAGGAGGGAGGGGGAAAATCGCCCCTCCCTGCACCGACCCCCCCCCCCGCATTACGTCACTGTTGGTCACCATTACGTACCAATATTTGGCTCGCAAAATTTCAAATTTGGGCCCCCCCCCCCTAAGAAATCCTTGATCCGCGCCTGCTGAATACCCCCCTAAAACTGGATTTAGGCCCTAGGCTGACGGCCGTCGGCCTCGTGGGCTGTCCCCTATTGTAATCGGGCAGTCTGTTAATAAAGTGTTCTTGAATCAAGATAGATTTATCATCCAAATTGGTATTGTACCTAAATTTGTACGAGTAATTAGACTAGTGTCTTTTATTTGTTAATTATTGCGCTCTTCGCTCGCTCGCAATTTACAGTAAATATATATGACATCGTACTCAGGGGGGGGGGGGGGCATTCAGATGCCAAAACGTTATAAAATTAGAAGAAAATTGTATTTTTTCAATTCATTTTAACTGTTCATTTTACAACGGAAATTATCTCAGGAAAACGAAATATTATCTCAGGAAAACGAGAATTTATCTCAGGAAAACGAAATATTATCTCAGGAAAACGAGAATTTATCTCAGGAAAACGAAATATTATCTCAGGAAAACGAGAATTTATCTCAGGAAAACGGGAATTATCTCAGGAAAACGAAATATTATCTCAGGAAAACGAGAATTTATCTCAGGAAAACGAAAAATTATCTCAGGAAAACGAGAATTTATCTCAGGAAAACGGGAATTATCTCAGGAAAACGAAATATTATCTCAGGAAAACGAGAATTTATCTCAGGAAAACGAAAAATTATCTCAGGAAAACGAGAATTTATCTCAGGAAAACGGGAATTATCTCAGGAAAACGAAATATTATCTCAGGAAAACGAGAATTTATCTCAGGAAAACGAAAAATTATCTCAGGAAAACGAGAATTTATCTCAGGAAAACGAGAATTTATCTCAGGAAAACGGGAATTATCTCAGGAAAACGAAATATTATCTCAGGAAAACGAGAATTTATCTCAGGAAAACGAAAAATTATCTCAGGAAAACGAGAATTTATCTCAGGAAAACGGGAATTATCTCAGGAAAACGAAATATTATCTCAGGAAAACGAGAATTTATCTCAGGAAAACGAAAAATTATCTCAGGAAAACGAGAATTTATCTCAGGAAAACGAGAATTTATCTCAGGAAAACGGGAATTATCTCAGGAAAACGAAATATTATCTCAGGAAAACGAGAATTTATCTCAGGAAAACGAAAAATTATCTCAGGAAAACGAGAATTTATCTCAGGAAAACGAGAATTTATCTCAGGAAAACGGGAATTATCTCAGGAAAACGAAAAATTATCTCAGGAAAACGAAATATTATCTCAGGAAAACGAGAATTTATCTCAGGAAAACGAAATATTATCTCAGGAAAACGAGAATTTATCTCAGGAAAACGGGAATTATCTCAGGAAAACGAAATATTATCTCAGGAAAACGAGAATTTATCTCAGGAAAACGAGAAAAAAAAAATTTCTCCATGTCACTTCCGGGGCTCCGTAGATATGCATCGGGTAAAAGGTAATATATTGGGCAAAGAATATGGCCATTTAATAATTTGGCAAAATGTTTGATCAGGAACGCCTATGGTCGGTGTCTGTCTCTAAAGAGAGGAGCCGACGTACACTACCCAAATCAGATGCTAACGAACGAAAGAGACAGAAAGAGACTTCTGTCTACCGGTAGATTATGATGTAGACCCTATGAAACTATTCTGTTACGTTAACTTGTAAATAACTAAGAAAATGAAAGTTTATGATATTTCCTGTACAGAAATACTCTACTTTTATCAAAACCAAATTAATATCAGGGAGGACATCCCCTTTAACTTTTAAGGTTATGATGACAACGAGCTCCATCCACGTCGCCAATCAGCTGATGCCATGCCATGCCATGGCCTCTGCACTGTGTAATGGTCGCCGAGCATCGGGGATGCGATAACATTGGCATTCCCATCCGTGATCCCATTATTTTATTTAACAGATGCTCACCTGCTAAGTAATTTGTCCACTTGTAGAGCATTCCTTCCATCTTGAAATATACTCTAATACATAAACATTAGAAGAAGGAAGATATTACTAGGATCATAGGATGATGATTCGTCTGGGATTAAAAAAATTGACTTCTCAACCGGTGACGTGAAACACTTTTGTTGGTGCAAAGTTCGTGTACAGTACCGGTAACACGGTAGAGGCTCCTAACCCGGAAGTTGATATAATTATTTAGACTTCATCCAAGGTCGATCTTATCATAACATGGGGGTGGAGGAGGTGTGACAAATACAAGAAAAGTCAGAAAGAAAATCAAAAAAAAAATTAATTTGTGTATTATTCTATACATCTAGTGATCTTTAGGGATCATACAACTTTAGTAGGGTTTTGTTGTGGTTAATCATTGACCAGCCATTGTAATAAATATCACTGGATGCCAACAAAGTTGGATAACAACATAGGGCCTACAAAACACAAATATAGGAGCTGGTCTGATTGCCGACTGTTATCCCTTCAATTAGGCTTTTAAATATTAAAGATCAATCAGGAAACATATAATATGTGATGCCTAATGAAAAAATATATTGGCAGATAAAAGCATTCAAACACCCACTCCCCCTAGCTGTTTGAGGGGGGAAATGGGGGGGGGGGGGGGGGGGGCAAAAATGGAGACTATTTTTCATCTCAACCTCCCAGGCCACCATCCAAAATGAGTGAATTGAGGAGGGTCAGCAGGCTGGATTCCCGAAATTATATATTCAACAAGTGCATCCCATCTTCTGACAATTCTTGATCTACCCAAGTATATATAGATGACGGCCCACAGATATTCATCATATATACTGCCGCTAAGTATTAAGATATGAATGCAAATATCAACCAATGCACAAAAGGAATTTATGATTTATGCCACTATTTACTGACCATTACATTTCTTTTACAAGAATCTTGCACTCGATTCCCCAACCTCTGTTCTCTCTTTCTTTCTCAACTTCTTTATTATTTTTCTCACCATATCGCTCCCGTTATCTCTCTCTCCTTTCTATCTCTGTCACCCCGTTCTCCCCCTTCTCTCTCTCTCTCTCTCTCTCTCTCTCTCTCTCTCTCTCCCAATACTGCACAAGCAACTACAAAAACGTCACAATCTTTGTTTATATCATTCTGTTTTCATATGATCATTTATTGTACATACCTGTTTTGACATTATATATCTCCATTACACTTTAAAACTTACTCGATACTTTCACAACACTCAAAACTCGGTACATATGTCATTCTGCTTCAGAAGACATCAGTTTGTCAGAAATGTATAAACCTGCACAACATCCATATCCATGCAGAATTATTCCATCAAAGTTCTCCACATCAGCATTGCATTAAAACAATTTACATTTCAAGTAGCTTTATTGCTACTAAGTCAAAACCAAATGACAATATCCAAGTTTCTTTCGGACACAATTGAATTGATCAATACCCAATAAGTTGGGCAAATATTACCCTGGAATTGTCACAATTCTCTCAAATATTGGTTATTGATCAGGCGAGGTATTTGATCCATAGCTTCTTCATCTCTCTCCACAAATATGCTTTAATTCTCCCTTTCCCTGGATGGTTAAGAGCATTACAAATACATGTACCCAGAACATGTGAAATGATTATATCACAATTCCAAGGGAATTTAAATAAGTACCTTATTTGATCTCCCACAAAATATACCAAAATCACAAGAATTATCGTGATCTTTGAAGATCGATTCCCTGCCGTTACAAAAAGAGGAGAAATTGATCAACAATTAAGTAGCAAAATTCAAATTCATTCCTTAAATATGACCCCAGCAAGCAAGTGCAGATGTAAAATGACCATGGTGCAAGACCCGGAAGCTGGGACATCCCGCCCCCCCCCCCCCCTTTGAAGTTAGACCTGAAAGCTTGGCAGCTAGAGACGGCTTTCTTCCAGAAGCTTTGGTATTCAAGGGTATTCAAGCAAATTAAATGCCCAAATTATACTCCAAAAGCAAACAGAGGCTTTTGAAGGTCACAGATCAATCAGGATAATTGAGGTTAGGTCAATTAAAATGTATAATCATGTTTATAGGTTCTCCAGTTAAACAGCACAGCAGTTCATAAAACTGATGGCAAATAAATAAGAAAAGAACATTTGAAAGATAATCCGACTCATATTTTCTTTAAAACTTATCAAAATGTGCTAAATAAAATTTTGTGCAACTACGAGGTCATGAGAAACACACGACCTGTTAAAACACATAATGACATAGACCTAAAAAGGACTTCTATGATGTAAAAACTGTGCTTAAAATCAAACCAGCTGGTACCTGGATACATGATTCTTGTTAAAATCAACTTGGCCTACTTATAGTACCAAAAAATTATGCTTTCATCATTGTAATAAAGAGATATATAAAACATATTTTGTATTACTTAAGCTTAGGGACAATTTTCCTTCATTTTCTCAGCTTATGGTTTGTCTTTCTGTTTTACATGCTTTAGTAAAATACATTTTATAAGTGTAGCACAAATTTTAACAACTTTTAATCCTCATGATTAGAGAAGCAAACAGATGCTGTATTTGAATACCATCATCAATAAAGTTAACATCACATGCCTTACATGAAAACAGAAAATGTATTACTTATCATCTTGCAATGCCAGTATTTAGAACACAAATCTTTTATCACATGTGTTTAATATACATACACTGATATAGTGTGAATTCATTTCCAAATTTTACTAACAATCACTTTTCTAGATATTGATTATCAGTAAAATCATACGTCTGTTATTCTATCATTACATAATGCATTGGAGATGGATTTATTTCATGATCGGATAAACTGGGGGCAAGAAATATATCTAGATGTACTTTTGCTAATGGACCAAGAAAATGCACATATAAACAAGAACCCTACAAGATATAAAACTGCCGGTAATGTGTAATAAATACAAATTTTATAAAAGAATTGCACACATGCAGACCCCTTGTTTCTTTGTTTTTCCAAAACGAGCACACAAGCCACTAATTTTCTATTAGAGTTACATTTTCTCTCCATTTTTGGTATTCCTTTATTGGATGATTTGTTTCACAATGATTAACAGTGTAAAGCGTTGAATACTGAAAATGTATTTTGTGTGATCGGCATTGCGGTTTTAATTACATTATGCAGCAAACATAAAATAGAGTTCTTATAGCAAGGTTGTCGGTCTCTTAATATTTTATATTCGAGTTCCATGGCAAGGGCTGTAGAATGAAGGATAGTAATTTGAATGAATTGATTTAATAATGATCAATCAACAATTACCCATGCTTTTGAACCATGGTTAAAACTAGATATGTGATTCATAATGTAAATAACAAACACTCATTTGATTAATTCTCTGTTCATTTCTTATTATAACCAAAAGAAAAGGATTAAGGTAAATCATATGATTTACTGCTACATAAGAGCATTGTCATCACTGGGACAAAGAGGGGGGGGGGGGCAATACAACAGGTCAAATGAAACATTATTTAGCAAGATATGTCACTAAACTTCTCTATTAAAAATACTATTTTACTTTTGAGGCCAACTTATCTTATACTACAATCCAGAAAACAAATATACCAAAGCAGATATGAAAAATGAACTTAACTGGCAAAAAAAAAAAGCGTTTTTCAGCATGGAATGACTCTGTTCCATAAGATTATCATGCCTTCAAAAGAAAAGTACATGTTCTCAAAAATCAAAGACTTGTGTAAGATTAATCATTGCAAACAATAAAATGTGATAAAAAATTCTGATTTGCACTCAAAAAGAGCAAAGCTAACATGCAATATAAGTTTATAAATCAAATAACAATGAAATGATAAATCATTCTTGACATTTTCATAACAAACACCATTAGGCATTTTAATGTACATCTCTCATAAAATGTTTATTACACAATATACATGTACATAATATATCCAATGGTAGATATAATGATAAACAAGTGAAAGGTATATACCATAAATCATGTAAACAAAACAATAAAAAGCAAAAATCATTATATCATGAATGGGTTTTGAATATAACTGCTGTAAACAAAAAGAAGTTTCCATTAACTGACAATGTCTAGAATAGAAACTCACACAATCATAAAACCACCCATTAACTGTTACTGGCCGGCAAGAATACAAGGGGCTAGGTAGTAGTCTTTATAATAGCCAAACTTCTCCTGAGTCCATGAGATTAAAAAAAATACTTTACAAGGTGTTTTGATATTAACACTAACGACTGTCTTGTTATCAATAATGACTGAATTATTATGTGAATTTCAACAAGAAGTGGGCTTGATAATCAGCTTCAAATTGTTTTAAAAATCATTACATGATAAAGCCATTACTTGCGATATGCTACATCATAAAAATGGAAGGATGAATTTCCCTTTAATCTTTCATCTTGGTATTTACAAGGTGGTCATGGCAGTGACTGTGAGAGATTTCTTTCATGATTAATCCAAGAAATCAACACGTAATTTACATTTTTACAATAATTTACATTTTAAAAAAGATTTAACTTTCATTCATCCTCATGTATTCCTTTTATTTACATCAGTGGAGAGACAAATCTATCATATCTTCCATTATTCACAATATTTTGTGGGATTATTCTCGCTTTCACCCGACATCTCTGCATCCTAAAACTTTTACTAATTTGCACAAACAGCACATTGAACTGAAAAACATACATCTTTTCAGTACTCTGTCACTGTATGGAAGTAATAATGATTCATCATATATTTACAACAGCTAATTATTCTTTGCTACAGTAAAATCAGTACTCTTTCAGAAAAAAAAGTCAACTCAATTTCTTGTCCCATTGATAAACCTCAAAATTTTTTCTCACTGTCTTGCACCACTTCTGGAAAACAGAGTGGACTGTTGATGGCGATGTGAGGAAGTAGGGAAAAATTGGTCAAGAATCACCTGCTAAAGAACAGATGATAATTCCATTGCAGTAAGTAGGTCCTTAAACATAACCACCCCATCCACACATCAAAAAGGTATTCCATATTTGCATTTTACAGTACATGGATGTTCAAGACTTATAAATGGGATATGGAACCGAGCTGACCATTTCTACGTTGAAGATACACTGGGCAATACCTGAGAACAGTTGAATATGCAGTTCCATTGGAACCTAGAGCATTACTAAATGTCTTCTTTGACTTTCATGATCTGGCATTCTTCAAACTTGAAGTGCAAATGAATGACAATGCAGGAAAGAATTGAAAATTGAAAACAAACTCAACTGCGATTAATTAACTAAAAAAAAACATGAATACAAATTTACATTAAATTGTCACTTATACAACAATCATATATTTTTGCTTTGAGTATGATTCCCTTTATAATGATTTTATAATGAAATTTCACAAAAGGTAATAAAAAGCCTTTGAATATCGGATTTGTTCATAGTGAACATAATATTTCTATCATTGCACATTTTTTGTTTGTAAAATATAAGTTTACACAAAATACAACAGCTTCAGCATCATCTTCAATTCTTCATAGAAACATCTCAAATTCCTTTCTTCATTTAGTTGCCACATTTGAATTGCTAAAAAGTGGTTGTATGATATGAAATATGAATAATCTATAAGAATACATTAGATTTCACACATGAAGTATATATCTTCACCATTGCACTTTGCCGAATTCATTATCTCAGATACAACTGATGACATTTATTCAGAGTATCATCAATTAATCAGCCTTTCATAAAAATCATGACAAGTTTATTGTTTGCCACTCTCAGGTTGCACACATATTGGTTCACAACCAAGTATGTATCCATCCTTTAATTAAACTATTTCAAATAGGAGAGAAATATTTTGTCATCAATCCAGTTTGAGCTTTTTGCAAAGTAGAGCTGTTTCTTGTACTGTTCTTTTAGGTAAAAGAAATATGTTTGAGTGCAGTCACTCTGTAAAGATGCAAAATATCAGTTTACAGCATTAAAATCTCCTCAATTATTTTTTATCAACTATCAAATAATAAAACTGTTTGAATGTTTTCATTGTGATGTTTTTGCTTCAAAGGTACCTGTATCTTGAATGAAAACAAAAGAGGAATACAGAGTGAGAATCTCCCCTGCAGCTGATTGTAAATGCCATTACAAGATGCCGGCACTGTCGTGTGATATATTGCGAACTTGCAAAAGATGATGCATTCTTTGAAATACTTCATCACTGAAAAGGACTTAATAAAGCCATTTATGCAAATGGTCGATACTAATATCAATATATGAATGTAGCATTGATTGAAAATGAGAATGTCAGTAGAATACACAAGCTTTAATAAACAATAATGTACACAAACATTTCACAAATAAATCATACTGAATCTTCTCGTTTTGAATATAGATCAAGAGCTGCCGTAACAATAAAATAATACTTTTTTTTCTTTCTTTCTGCAGTAATACACTTTGACAAAGCTGCACAACACGGTTTAGATTGCCACATCTGTTGAGGTCAGAAGTAATGAATGAGTCTCGTCTGCACACAGCTAATCTCCACCTTCATCGCTGCTGCTGGAATCCGTCTCCGAGTAGTGGATTTTGCTCTGTGGGATTTGAAAAACAAGAAAAATATAATTTAATAATAATAATAATAATAATGGTGGCTTCTTGTATAATGACAACAATAACAACAAAATTATGTTCAATTTAATGTTCTGCAGATTTGAATATCAAACAATTAGATTCTAAATATATCTAAAATCATGGACTAATAAAATTACAACAACAATTGAGAAATATTAATGTATTAATTCACATATCACATATGATCAATTAAGGGAGAGATCAAAAGAAAAGTGCAGAAAATGAGATGTAGGGAAAGTAGGTAACAAAAATATTTTAAAATTCAGAGAGAGAGAAAGAAATGTTGTGCCTCAACCCACCTCATAGCTCTTATCACCAGAGATCTGCTTCATGACCTGTCTCACAACACGCTCCTTGTCCGAGAGACCATCCGAGGTCATGGCTCCCAGGTCATGGGCGTCGGGGTTTATGCCGATAGCCACCGAGGATAGACTAGTGGGCGTGGCAGTCTGGGCTCGCTGGCCTGGCTCTGGGGTGGGGCCGTGGGACCGTTCGCTTGTGTTGTCTTCTTCAGAGAAGATGCCATCGGAGTGGTCGGTGGAGTAGGATTGGCGGCTCTTTGGACGCAGCCTTTCATTCTGTAATGTCAATGTGTCTTCATCGCTGGAATGGTCTGGTGCAGCCTCCTCATTATCACTAGAACTCTCACCACCCTACAGAGAAATAAACAGAAAATCATGAACTACACGTGCAAGGGGATGTCCCTTTTCAAAAGGAGTAAGTTCTGAACTGGTGAAGGAAAGGAATAGTTTTAGATGAAATGTAAAGTGGTGTCATAGGTTTTAATTTCAAACGCAGAAACAATTATCTAGGGAAAGGCATGTTCATGTAAAACATCTCAATAGCATTATTTTCGAGAATGCTTCTAGTGGTTATAGAGCTGAGCCATATCTAAATATCAATGGTGGTATAAAACTAACCTTGGACTTTTCTAGGGATGACTTTGTCTTCTTTGTTGGAGAGGGGCTTCTCTTGGAGGTTCCTGGGCCTTTTCGTAAGGAGCCTACATTCCTCCTGATAGGACTCTCATCAGAAGCCAGTCTGTGTCCTATATAGGAGGACTTGAGTCCCATAACGTCCGTGCCTCCTAACCTAACACCACCCATGGAATGATCGGAAGAATAGTTCATTTCTGCTTTAACGGTGATGGCCATGGAATTGGAGGGGCCCTCCTGGCCACTTGGTCCACTGGTGGCCCCTTGAATGGGACTATTGCTGTTCAAAACGTCAATCTCACTGGTGAAGTTACCAATTGTCCTTTGTCTGTGCTTGTACTTCCGTGGAGCCGCCTGACTTTGGCCCTCGTTCACAATCTGTACATGTCCTGGACGGCTCTTTGCGTTGCGTCCATTGCACCTACATATGCCACCTGCAATCTCCGCGGGAGAGTGGATATTGAAACGACACCCAAGTTTCCTAGACATTGTCCCCTCTGTAACAATCCTTTCACTCTGAGAGCGCTTGATAAACCGTGAGGTTTCAGCATCAGGCTTACGAATGTCCGAAGTACTTGAGGAAACGTCTTCATCTGCAGCCCTGGGGTTACTACTTGTGGGTTTGCTGGATTCTTGGCTCTCCTTGGAGGGAGATCCTTTCCCACAAAAGCTTCCCCTGCCGTGGCTGTTGTTCCTGCGGTGACGTGACTTGCGCTGAGGCAGGGTCTTTGCTCGAATGGGTGAGGTCTTGGCATTGAGGTTGGCTCTGGGTAGCGTTGCTGGAGATCTGTTTTCCGGCTCCGGACTTACTGAGGAACTGCCTGGACTTGGTGACCTGAAAAGATAAAACATATGGTATGGTAATATACTTTGAACACAATTGACACTGCATGGAAGCAGTCCATTTAGAATTCTTCAAGTGCATCTATTTCATCTGCATCTGTACTCATTACTATCATGGCTATTTATGCATTCATCGAGTCTATCATCAAAAATCTTTTGTATTGAGAGAAAAAACAACTTTTCTCTACCCAGTTAACCTATGTGTAAAAAGAAATTTCAAATTGTTGATCCCTTGTCTTTGACTGACAAAATGTTGGTATGGATCATAGCCTGATGTACAATCAATGGATAGTCTAGGCCACATCTATTCAATCGTCAAGGCTGATAATTACCTTCCAAGTGTTGCTGAACCTCCATGAGACTGCAACGACTTCTCGATGAGCTTCTGCACCGTCCTTGCCTTGAGGATGGGTTTGAGGGACTTCTTCTTCTTGATCTCAATCTCACTGAGCAGCTTCTCCCTGCGCATCAGCTCCCTCTCCCTCTGCTCCAGCTGCAGGAGGCAGGAGTGCAGCTCCATGTAGAGGTCGTTGGCTCGTTGCAGCTTCCGCTCGTAGTGCTCCCTGATGTCTTGGGCATGCCTGCAGGAGAGGAGAGGAAAGGGGGAGTATATTAATTATTTCAATTTCACTTTATTTGTGTTTCCAACAAAACATTCCAAATGTAGAAATACATATTGGAAACAGAGGGGTACACAAAAAAAAATCAATGCTTGTACAAGTGTGAACACCTCATTAATGTCTCAGGTACTCTACTCTAGTTTGGATACTGTACAGTAAGATACCTTTGATTGCACATGCCTTTAGTGTGCATCCATCCTTCCTTTCAGCTTTTCTCAAGAAATTACCCAATACAGGGCATATAGGTCTTAGCTACCAGCTAAACAGCTTTCTATTTATCTTTACCTAGTCAGTTTTAAGACCGAAATTCTACCCAGAAAGTTCTTCCACTACTGATTTGTCATCACATTACAACCTCTTCATCAAGTATAGATGCTCCCAAAACATTTTATTCTATGCGATATCAAAGAGATATAATCAACAGAATTGTATTCTAGATTACAGTGCTATATAGGTAAGGAGATTCTCTGTTGCTATGGTCACCTGAGCTCATCCTGTCTCCGTTTGATGAGATCTTCATCGATATGACACATGGATGATCCCTCGGATTTCATCTTCTCAAACTGAAGCTTAATCTCTTCTCTCCAATCAACCTAGAGACAAAGATACAACCAAAATAACATCCATAATGTCACATTAGTGGATGACTACCTTTCTCACTTCTTCTTTAACACCAACATAGGTCATATAGAATGAATAGTGAACATTATAGAATGTCAATATCATCCTTGTGCTGACGCAATCAGGATCCGCAAGCACATTCTACGTCAAGCTCTGGAATGCTAGGAATTTCATTAACGCCCGTTATTGATCACACAAATGCAGGCCATCTGGCCATGTTTTAACTCTGGCAAACCCACTAGTATTGATTTCCATTTCCAGTGTAGTAGCACATCACATTCCATATCGCAATATAAGTAAGAACTCCAATCCAGGAATTTGGAGAATGTATAGTCATGGATTTCATTATTGATTTGTAAATGTGTTAATATAATGTTTACATATTACTATGGGGACAGTGGCTCAGGTTATCCTGTGACAGAGTCAGAACTGCTAATTGTACTTCCAGCAGGTAGCAGGAACAGCGGTGGATTTTCAAATAAGTTTTCACGGATCAACTCTTTTCCTAAGCCTGTAAATTTATATATTTCATCATTAAAAGCTGCAATGAAATATTTACCATTTCTTTACTAATAGTGTGATTACGTATTAAGGTTATGGAGTATTTTCTTGTCAACTGATAAGTGACTCAAATGTGTTTGCCTCTTACAGCTCTTTACATTTTAACAGATGACTCTAAAGTCTGCCTGAAAATCCTAACATAGCAAGTATAAATATGTACTTCTTTCCTTCTAACAATAACATTTAACAACTGAGACTACTTTCAAGCCTACTTGATTGAATTTGAAGAAAAAAAGCTACACAATTTTAGACAAAGATTGGCAAAAGGTATTATTGGAATAGTTTATCTCTGGTTTACAATTATTTTTAAAGGTTGTGTTTAGTACCTGCTTGTCGAAATATGCCTCCTGGGGCGTTGATAGGAAGTCCACAGCAGCGATGTCAATATGCATGAGGATTTGTCTGAAGGAGGGTCTGTTCCTGGTCTTGGCACTCCAGCACTGCATCATAAGAAGCTTGAAGCCTTCAGGGCAGGTGGATGGGATGGGTAGCTGGAGGCTGTTGCTTCCAACACCCCAGATGATAGCTGAGGAATCCACGTCCTTCAAAGAGTAAACAATTTGATCTTTAGTATAAGGTTGAATTGATCAAGTCTCTAGGTTAATTCATTGGGACAGAAAGATTTGAACTATGACATGATGGGAATAAAGGGGAATATTGAGACGTCTTTGCAGTCCTGCCAAGTTTTCATTTTATTATCATCACCATTTGGAAACTGGGGGGATGGAAGATATAAATCTATTAAAAACTTTGATGTTATTACTGATTATTATCCGCTACAAACCAGAAAGACGTTACCTGCATGTATAAAGTGCCCTTCTGGCTCTCACTAAAAAAAATGTTCTTGATTTTATCAAAACAACGCAGGTCTAATCTGAATTCTATAATGTAGTCATGTTTCCTACCTACTCAAAAAAAAAAAAAAAGACCAAGATAATGGATCAAAGGTCATCTTCATGGTCATTATCATCGGTCATTCCAATCTTTACCTTGTAGGGCATCTCTCCCGTAAGCAGCTCCCAGAGGACCACACCAAACGACCAAACGTCCACCTTCTCCGAGCAGGGTTCGTTACGGATCACCTCTGGTGCCATCCAGGCCACCGTGCCGGCAAAGGACATCTTGGTGCTCTTCTCGTTCCACTCTCGACTGGTGCCAAAGTCAGATATCTTCAGGATGTCATTGTTTGCCACAAGCACACTGGAATTCAAAAGTGGTTACAGGTCTTGGTAAATTTCACTTCCCTTGAAAATTACTTTAAGAAAAGAACTTGAAAGGACTGTTTGTACAGAAGCTAATTCCTTCTTTTCCTTCAATTCTACAATATTTTTCAGATTTAATGAAATTCAAAGTAATTCTTGAGACACATGAAAATAACACTTGTTCTTCACTTTTCGGAATACATTCAGCCTCATCCATATCACACCTCAAATGTTACCTTCTTTTTTAAAGTACAGGATCATACAAATAATTTTTTTTTTTTTTTTTTTTTTTTTTTTTTTTTTGGGGGGGGGGGGTATATAACTCTGAACTTTACAACTAGATAGACATTGATGGCATGTAAGTTCCCATGATTAATAGTAAATGACTTATGAATGCAAATTTAGTAAATTTGTCACAATGTCTTTTAATAGTTTGCTTACTTTGGTGACTTGAGATCCCTATGAATAATCTTATGTATATGGAGGTAGTGCATGCCCTGAGCAATCTGTTTGGACCAGTCAATCATCAGCTGCGGGGGAATCTCACGTCCGTCCCTCAGCACTTCATAGAGCTGTCCGAATGGGCAGTATTCCATTAGAATGCAGAAGCAAGGCGCCAGTGTGCATACACCCCTGCAGAAAATAGGATAGTCCATGAATACCTTAGTACATTTGAATGGATGAACATCTACAAATACACTTGTATGAATTAATGAACTTTGTGACAGGCGTGCACAATATTCAAGAAATCATCATCATCATCATCATCATCATTTAGCCAGACACTGACACGATTTTCAGCTTTGATGCAAATATACCTGAACCAGTTATATGACAGGTAGTTATTAATTTTTTCATGAATAACCTCAAATTCATATCAAGAGTTGAATATATATGATAATCGATGCAAGAATTTCAATAATCTCACTTAGGTAAGAATATGGTATAGGATGTACTTCTAATGAGAGAAAAATCTCTTAATTTGATAAAAAAAACAAAGCTGATCATTCAAAATGCTCAGTCTACAAAAGATCAAAGCCATACCAAATAAATGTAAATCTCTAAGACCAAAAAGTATTCAAAACAACAGCTACCTTGACCAAACGAAACAAAAAGAAAATGGACACCACGAAGTTGGTTGAAGCTTAGCTAATCCCCTAGCTCTCGTCCCTGACTCACTGTTCCTCATCTTCTCCCCAGAGAGCAATGGAACGGTCCTCCTCATCAAATAATCATACCACCTACTTATTATTGATGGCGGCACTTTGCTACAAATACCGGACTACTCCTGACATTTTAACGTCGTCGTGTTCACCTATCTATGACCGCGGGCGATGGACCGGTGCTTTTTGACATAGTTATCCATCTTGGATGCAGGCCTGCCCATAAATCATGCATTGAATCAAGGATCTCTTGAGGGGAAAGAATGTGATGCTTCACTTCTTTCATCTTAACCCTGATCATATGGGCATGACAGAATGAGTACCTAACCTTATTCCCATACCAATCTCATGAAGGGTGTAGTATCGCAAGTAAATGGCCATCATGTAATTAAACTGACTGAACCCTCATCTACACTCTAATGAACCATTTTTCCATGAACTAGCAACCTCTCATTCTGAGTAAATTGGTGTCTACATAAAATTTGCTCACTTCAGCATAATACACTGAAAAAAGGGCAAATTAAAATATCAAAATGTATTCCTGCCATGTCCTTGGGGTGGTGAACTCACTTTATTGTCACAATATTCGGGTGGTTGAGTTTGCGTAAGTGCTTAATGTCCGTCTCCTTCTCGTCCCGAACCTTCTTGACAGCGACTGGTTCCGTCCTGTACCAGCCTAGAAAGACAGCGCCTTGGGCTCCACTTCCTAGCCATTGTAAGTTGCGGATGTTTTCAAAGGGAATCTCCCAGTCATCTAATATATAAAATAAATTAATTGAATAATTAACAGATAATAGAAAATGAATTCCAAAAGTATGCAATCATCATGTAACAGGCTTGCTGATGAAAGGAAGGATTTCAGCAAATTGATGGGCTATCCAGACAAGAAAGTTTTAAAAGAATTACCATTAGACAAAAACAGAACAAGCTCAAACTCATCAAAACAATATTTAAAAAGCAAAGGAAAAAGGGGGGACCAACATAAAGGGACAATAGGTTCAAAGCAACATGCAATCAAAACAAAAATTATACATTAGGAACAAAGGTTATTGAGGTGAAGTGACCCAAGAAAAGGGGAAAAAGGAAGACTGAAAGCTAAGAGGAAGGATGGGAACTAAAGATATTACCAGACAACAAGCAGTTAAGTTTTAAAAAAAAAAAGCCTAGATAGCAATTGGCACAAATACTCCAAACAACATTGCCTTCCAAGTAATAGAAACTGACAATGCAATGCATAATATGAAAATGACCCCCATTTCCTTTTTGAACATGTCACCACTAACATTGATTTGTCTGAAGCCTGTGGGCAAGAACCATACTTCAAGACACTCAAGGAGCCAGGAATGGCGTCTCATTGGTATAGATGCACGAAGGTCAATATATACCTGAAGGCCTTCTTCATGTCCTACCCTGGTTTCTTACTGAGCCCATGGAGAAATAATATATACCCTGCCTTGCATTTTTTTCACTTAGGTGTATACTTATAATCTCCATTTTTAATCTCACTTTTTGTATAACATAATGTTAGCCCCCCCATCCCCGCCCCCCCCCCCCCCCCCCCAAAAAAAAGGCAGGCGATTGACAAGTATATTTTCAGGCACTTTGTTTAGATGTACAAACCTTGTCATCCCACACAATGGCATTTAAATTGCATCTTGCATTTCCATCTTAATAAACCTTCCCCTGTTTTGTACTAGATTACAAACAACAACATTCACAATCGGCTTGTCTCTTACTTAGAAATCCTTCGCTATGTTTCTCGTGATTGCCTTTTCCGATCATGTTCCAGACAGGTTTGAGGCAGCCCCATATGCCCTCCAGGAGGCTACGCCTCTGCATCCCCCTGTAGTTCACCGCCCCCTCATTCCTAGTAAGGGTCTCGCATGCCCCGCTGCCGTTGTTGTTATTGTTGATAGTGTCACTCTTCCGAGGGATGCTCTGCTTCGGGGTCGAGAGGTCGATTTCTTCGTCACAGCTCTCCAATTGCAAAAGGCTTTAGCGAGACAGAGGTGAAATAAACAGACAGTCGTGATGTTAATAACATCTGGAAGTCATGACTTAGTTTACAGAAAACCTTGAATGTAACAAATCTAAGAGGGGATGTAAAACGTTATCAAATATTCTCTACGTACTCAACACGGTGTCAAAAGAGCTAATGTCAGCTGGATAATGAAAAACAGACAACTCCCCTTCTATATTCTGATTTTAGTGTGCTGTGCAGAGAATCAGGCTGAATAGGAACTTTTGAATGAGGCATTCCTAATTTCATGATGATTAAAAGAATGGAAGAGGGTCTATATCATTTCTTGAAAAAAAACTTACATCAAAGCTCAATCCTATTTTTTGTTCCTTTTCAGCTTGTTTACAGTATCAATGATTTGGCACATCAGGCTTCCACTAAAAACAGTACTTAGTCATATAACTTGAATATGATCCAGCTTTTACAATTATTTACTACACAATAGGTATGGAATCAACCTTCAATCCGTATGTTCAAATCTTATATTTGCCTTTAAATATGACTCCAAGAAAATAGTATGAATTTCTAGAATACACAAATTTGAGAATATAGTTTAAAAACCCTAACTCATTTTTTTCTCTTGTAGATTAGGGCCCTGTCTTGTTAAAATGTTTTTGCAATGGATATATCATATGTCCCCCAAACAATCATTTATTTATAAACTCCTATCTCTTTAGTACAATCGCTCTTGTTTATAAGATGGGCCCCAGATCAACATGTACATCAGGGTTTTTTAACTGTAGAATGAAGCTCACCAGTTTGAAAACTTCTCATGCTCTGGATTGGTTGTGACAGTGACCCGTGCCGGAGCATGCTGACTCGTGATTGGTTCGTCTTTTGTGGCATATAACTGGTGACTTCCACAATCGGTCACCGAAAGAGTGGCCATACTTTGCGGACTCGGCATTGAGGTAACGGTGGTACGCCCTCACGTTTCACCGGTAGAGCAGATCGTTCGTTGATGCAGATTTGGACAAAGATCGATGAGCAAGTTTCAAATGGCAACAAACAGGAGGTTGATGTTTATCTTGAATTCTGCGAGATAAAAATAAAAAGGATGCATATTAGCCCATTGAATACTCATCCAAATAAGAAGTATTGATCACAGATGATTTATTTTAGTCCAAAGCATAATCATGAAGAAAAATGTGTGTATAGATCTCCTACACTCTGTAGTATCCTACCGTACATTGCAAACCCTGGTCATCATCACCCCATACACCGTCAATAGCACTAACACCAAAGAACATCAGTCTTTATTTACACAGTATTCCATTATAAATCCATGGATGATGTATGAGACATAGCAGCATATCAGAAAGAAATATACATCAGCGACAAAAATCCAGTACAGATCGTCATGTAAAACATCTTTTAATGTGGAAATCATAAGATGATGTTGAGTCAAGCCTACAGGCAACATAATATAGCGCAGTATCCAATAAGTGCTGGGTATATATCACATGATCTTTTCCTAGTAGAGAAATGCATAGCAAGGTAGATGACTCAAGTGAAGATGAGGTTCATGCAAGATCACACACTCACAAATCAAAATATCCACACAAAAAATGGCTTGAGTCGAAAATATACTGTTCAGATTGCATCTGATACAGCAATGGATCATGTAAAATTCTTTCTGAACAGAGAATTGAAAGAAAAAAAAAAAAAAAAAAAAAAAAAAAGAAAAAAAGATACTAAAATGAATAAATAACATAAAAGTGCACATACATGTAGATAATTACTTGATTAAACTAAACTGATATGCCCAAGAGGTAAGCTGTATGTATCCTTCCAATTAAAAAATAGTGAAAAGGATTCATTAGTATGCAGCTCTCATATTATATTGGTGCCATGGCTCGCTGGGTCCATGAATAATACTACACACTCCCGCACTCATAGTGCACCCAGAAAATGCATCCCTCACACATCCAGCGTAAGCCCCCACGCATCCATTCATACACAACACTGGTCACTGCATAAATTAGCCCTACTCCTAAACTATACACACACACAGATAGGCGCTGACAGAGATGCTTACTACTATACAGATCTCGACGCTCCGGGCTCACATAGCGGGCGCGAACACACTCATAACGCAGCCGTACAGCACAGAATCGTAGCGCAGAATGCCGCGGCGATGTTGATAACCGATAGTATGGTCCGGCGTTTCAGCAGTGCTCCAATGTATTGTAGGCACATGACGTAATGGCATTGAAATAGCAACCTCTGTATGCAGGCATTACGATAGCTACTAGATGCAGAACTGTGTGTGTGTTCAACTAGAAGCATAATTGTGTGTGTGTGTGCCAAGTATATTGCTTATTTGCAACCCATACACACACATTATTATCCTCCACGGTGTTGTGCTTTATGAAATTTGATATGGGGGATGGGGACTCGGTAGCATCAGAGCTTAATTACGATGCCCGACTCTTTTCATCAGAGAGAGAAAGAGAGAGAAAATTGCAAACAAGAATCCTATTAAAGCTGAGTGGATAAATGCAAGTGCAATTCACCCCGATATTGTCCTACAGATTGCCCTAATCAAAATTACATTGACGATGCTTTCATCCTAATGTGATAAAAATAAACTCAAAACAAAATGGTAATTACTCTTTCAACCTCCCTTAGGCATTATTTTCTCATTTTTTTCTCAATTTTTCTATGTCTTAAAGAGCATAAATTATATATCTTGGATATCAGAATCCTACATACTAAATCTTTTCTTACATGAATATCTATTAACCTTAATCTACCGGGTACACATATTCATAAGTTTTCGACTTCTGACAAACTCAGTTTAGGGGTTCAAAATAAGTGAATTCAATACAAAAATATGTAACATGTAAAAAAAAATATTGTGATCCTGACTAGAATATAAGTGATTTTCTTCTAACATAGTGATTATAAAAAAGTATAACCCAAATGAAGCACATCTAAATTATGCAGGGCTCCATGAGAATAAAAAGGAGAATTACTGTAAAGTCTTTACAAAGATATGAATTATGTTCTCCCAATGTCATAGCTCTGAACACCCTGCACCTCTCATTAATGCAGCTCGGTAAATGCTATTATTCTAGCAAATATGAAACATTCAATTCTCTTTCTCACGTGCATACAATACAACAGCTACATGAATGTTTTAACATTGTTAGTCACACGCTACATTCAATAAGGGATGACCTTTGGACTAATTGATTGTTAAAGTACATGACAATTACTCATGCAGATACACATCTACTCAAATTTTGCTCATACATTGTCTTATGTATTTCAAAAACACACAACGATCACATTCCGTAAGTAGTTTAAACACATTTGGATTCTAATTAGTTGCAAAAAAAGAACATGATATGGCCAGTGAATCATATTTTCAAGATCCTGATAATTTCCATAATAATAATTATCTGGGTTTATGTAGTGCTGCATCTGTAATGTTTCTGAGTGCTTTAAAACATGATTATAGAAATTTGTAATTCATTTTGTGTTCCCATCTAGCCTGATTTCATTTAACTTTCCTAATGATAGCTCTATTTACTTGCCTAGGGCAAAATTTACAAAATGAACTGTAAAATATTAATGGTTTTAAAAATATTACAACGATTATGTCCATTTGCCATATTGACAACTTGTGCATGTACATGAATATCTGCATTGTATGTAATAAATATTGGAGTACATCAGCAGACCTTGCCAACTCTGGAGCAAAATCCTCAATTTGGCGCTGATTAAATCAAGGCACTGTATACTTGACTTCAGCTGCTAGATTCTAACCCAAAATGGTTTGAGGGCTCGGATGCAAGCCTGTTTTTCCCGGACTGCGACAGGATAATTGTCCCCTTTCCCTTCCCACCGTCGCGCAGCAAAGGATCACGTAAGCGAAGGCAAGGCGCAACCAAAGATTCATGAATTGAACATTAGGGGGTTTGCGCGACATAGCGGCACCAAGGCCTGGAGTAGACGACCTTTGCGGAAGATAAGAGTGGAAGCTGGAGGGTTTTGTCTACTGCTGGCCGCCACTGCCGCTGCTCCGGAGAGCCGCTCAAGATGGAATCAGAGAGGATGCATGGAGAGCCACATCGATTGAAAAATGTGTTTCCTGCTGCAAGGATGGATAGTATGTGCATGCAGTACTATACAAAACACAACAAGGCCATCATCAAACCAAACTGAGAGCATGGTTAGATATATTACAAATACATGTGCATAGCCATAGCCACTCTCAGAAGCTACTCAGAAAAAGGGATTATCTGAGAAGATGTTTACTTGTATCAAATGATATACTGTGCAATCATTCAAACAAACAAAGAGATTTTATATTGTGTTGCTGACCTCATACCCTTTGCCTAAATGTCATATTCCATCGACACAGATGATTAATCTGCTGTTATACTCTTTTATTCAGGGATACTCATCCAGGAGACACATGGCATTAATAGTGAGCAAGCATTAGTCTCTGCTAATTGCACAACGGGCGAGAAGATCTCTGAGACAGGCGTTGAAGAATATCTCATCATTTCACCATACAATACCCTCAAAGGGGACTGTTTGCCGAATGTAACATGAATGCTCCACATCCATTTCACCCTACTCCAAACTAAATCAACTAAACTTAATTTCTTCTTCTTCTTCCTGCATGGTTAAGTTATACTCCCCCACCCACCCTGAAGTTTTTGAAGTCAATAAATCTTGGTGAAGACTGGCTATGACATTTATGAGTATACCATGACAGGGTGATGGGTATCCCACAGGACTAGTAATGATATGCTACGTGATGTCATCATTTCTTAGAAGCTGACCCGAGCAGCCACTCAACACGGTGCATTTATTTGCAATCGTGAGTGCTAGATGACTTGTTTTCAACTTTGACGATTGTTTGGTAAAGCAATGATACGGCGAAGTATGATTTCATCAATGATGTTTAAACAATTCTCAAGTATCCTGAACAAAGGATATAGAGGACAATGGTATAATTTCTTTTAGGATCTAATACCATCCATATACCTAACTAAGTATGTAAGTGCATAATCTTCATGCTCCCACAGATATCAACTGTGCAAATATGCTCTATAAAAATATGACTCGGCCACAATCATACCGATGATATTGATCAAGAGATATAATTGATAAAAACACAACATGACAGGAAAAGAAAAAAAGATTTGAAGAAAAATAAATAAATACAAAGTATATGTAGATTAAGGAGATGACAGAGAGTTCAAATGCAAAACTAAAGAGAGATTAAAAGAAGGTAGATTTTAAAGTAATAATTATGAATAGGATGAATGATAGACAAAGAATTCCTTATTGCAAATATTTTCAAAGTAAAGATGAAGAAAATATAACTACATTCCATAAAAGAAAAAGCAACAAATTAACTTTCAATAATGGATACTTTAATACAATTTAACCTCCTATCTGATCATAATCATAATCATAATCTAAACTCACCTTCAAATTTCTAAAGCCAGACAAAGTTTGTACATCTACCAGAAGCAGCAAAACTGACTAGACTGAGCACCACTCAGAAACATTTCGCTCTCAAGAATTTACAAGGGTGCAAAGAACGGCACAACCACAGACCATGTGATCTGGAGGGCCTATTCAACTATTCATGGCTATAAAAAAATATCAAGTCAATCCACCAATCAGAAAACTCTACCTATAGTCATTTGCATAAATCAATAATGCTGGAACTATTATATCGATGACCCCAGGACCCAGTATTTATAGAAGTCATGTGGATTAAACTTGTTTGTGTCAAACCTTTGTTGCAATACCACAAGAAGACGAGATAGACCACTAAAGTGTTTTGTTTACTTGTTATTTACTGAAGTGGGCCCATGATTAGTTACAGTAACTGTGCAAAAAGTTTAAGAAAGCACTTACATTCAAATCAGACACCTCCCTCCTAAAATTATGTCACTTAAATATATACTTATATAATGGTAATGACGAAATACATTCCACATCAACTTACAGAACAATTTTACATAACTTTAAAAGGCTTGTAATCAACTGTCTTTGCGGTGAAAAGTTTGTCTGTCTTGACTTTGTCATTTCCAAAGCATGATACAACATACAGTACAGGAAGGTTAAAACTTGCTGTTCTAACATATATAAAGATACTGGATACTGATTTATAATCTTTCTCTTGAAAAGGGTACACATTTTGACAAAAACATGTCTTTAAATGTAAACATGTTGTTCATCAAATTAATGCCAACCAAAAGAAGCATATTTATAGCTCACACACTTGTTGGCATAGAGGCATAAACAAACACAGTGGACCCAGACAAGACCACCCTATCTTTCTTTGTGAATTGTTCCTTGATGATGTAATGAAAAGAAGGGGCATCCCCTTACCTCATTGAAGTATTGACCAATGGGATTGCTCCATTGAGAAAGGGGTGGGGACTGGTCATGACCAAGGGGCATGTGTGAGTTTCTGCTTCCAATCCCTTTGACCAATCACAAGTCAATACTATTATATTCTCTCTCTCTCTCCCCCTCTCTCTCTCTCTCTTTCTCTATCTCTCTGTCTCTAAAATTATTCCCATTCAAAGCATTGACCTCAAATCCAATGCCACCCCCCCCCCCACATTTAGCTAGTCACAAACATGCAGGCCTTTGTGTACTGTCACGACTGTCTCAACCAAATGGATGATCAAAAGGTTTTCCGGTAGCAGTGGTAGGCCTACTCCTTTGATGGGATTGAGTACAAAAATGAACAAAGCGTTCAGAATCTTTCCGGAGTTTTTGTAAAGAACAATACAAAACCACAGACCTGTCTTGGCTTGCATTATAAATTAGTCCGGCAGCCAAATCCAGACTATTGGCCTAACCTTGTTTTATGGTCTATAGTTTTTTTTCAATGGATTTTGATTGCTTAGACCTTCTATTTCAAGAATCCGATTGCTGACACTCTGTCAGCCTTGAGCAATTTAAGATATATGACGTCATACAAAATGGCCGCCAAAGTACATGATTTTCCTTTAAAAATGAATAATAAATATATAATAAGGATTTTTTTCTTCAATTTTTGGCAGCCAAATGTCTGTATCTCTCTAGGACCATCACTAAAAATATGTTTCGTGGTGTTGCATGGCCAGTGATGACCAGCTTATTTGCATATTTTGAAATAGCGCCCTCTATAAACATATTAATTTGAATAAAATATGTGTGCCAGCCAAATGCCAATTTCTTAAATTTATGTCACGTTGAAATCATATTAAATGCTTTTTTGGGGAAACAATTGCAGTTGTGCTGCATCAATCTTTCATCGTGTTTGGTACAAATTTAGATAGGGTAGGTGTGGGGAATGGAAGACCCTTAAGCACATTTGCATAATTTACATAAACATGAACAATGTTACACATACAGACATTTTTGTATTCTCTTTAGTATTTTTTCTCTTTATTTGGTAACGAAATTGTGGTGATGATGTAACTGATTAATAAGATAACAATGATTAATGACGTCATCACCAAAGGTCTCTCATTACCTACATGTGTAGGTAATAAGGGACAGTTACAAATCAAGACATTTTAAATACAATTTGAATGAAAATGGGATTGTTATAGTTAGTTCAAACACTTTTTGAATGATATACATGCAGCCAATGAACTTACTGTAATTTTGAAACGATTTTAAAACAATGGGGCCCAAAATATTTCTGTAGTTTTTTGTTTACAGTAATAAAGGTGCTCTCAAATATATTAAAATACTTTCAGAATAATGTTCTGGCAATATGACTTTTACATTTATCAAACTCACAGCATAGAAACAACTTCTTAAAATTAAATGCATTCAAATTAGAATGGTGACACGTACAACCAAGTACAACCACAACATTCAGTGAAAATTGTGTTTTTATATCAGAGCAAAATTTTACGATCAAAATTGCTTATCTTGGTCAATTTTGCCAATTTTCTCGTAGAGAGAACGCACTGTAGTCTTCGAAATGAATTGGATATATGCAGTAGTGTTGTTGAAGGCCACATATGTCGCTATATCAATATTAGATCCAACACGGACAGACAGTGATGGGTTCAAGCTTGGTGGTCTCCGATTCCCTACACCTACCCTACATATGTCAAGAAAAAAAATGGCTATGAAAGAATTTATTTTTCAACAAATCGGTGAGAAGTGGTTTTACGGCACACATTATTATTCAATTAATAGGCTTTATTTAGACCAGCATTGCTCCAACGTCAGTGAATGTGGATAAAGCAGTTGACATCTATACTAGACAGATGCATGATTTCCAAAGAAATTACCTGGTGGATTCTATGTCACAATTTCCAAGAATGTTCAAACCGTGGCAGCCATGAAGAAGTCAATGTTGGGGTACGAAAGTCTATGAAAAGTTGATCTACTCCAGAGTAATAGGACTGCAGACAAGTTCAAGAGAGGTCAATGTCAAGGACATTTTGTCATAAGAGCTTTCACCAGTCCCAACAGCACTTTTTGATGATTCTGGAAACGAGCACTCCCATGTCAAAGACGGACTTATAGAATTTGACAAAATTTGAGATGTCAGCCAGGCATGAGACACTGGAACAACCTTGTACAGTCATTGATGGTTGTGCTCTGCTGTGGATGAAAATCTGATGATGTTTGCTTGGTGTTTGACAGATCCGAGAGTATTTAGAGGTCATAACGGGTCGAGAGTCTTCCAACTGAGTCCCGCGTCACTGCTGCCCTCCAAGAAACTATCTCTTACTGTTCGTCGTCGTCGTCGTTGTCATATAGATCATGGCTCACCCTTGTGACCCGTTTGATGAGACCTTTTGATCGGCATCTGTCTCCTGCAATCCGGTAGAGTGTCTTTAGTATTTAGAAGGTGGCTAGTGATTTCCCTAAGGTCGTCAGTCCATCTGACCTTGAGTCTTCCTTTGTTACGTGTTTCTTCAAAGGTACCTTGAATGATAATTTGTCAAGGTTGTCTCCTGATCTTCTGCTAACGTGACCAAACTATTGTAGCTTGTACTTGTCAATCCTGGTAGCAAGTGGCGGTTGATCTCCGATGATGGACATTAATTGTGTACATTGGTGTTGTAATCTCTTCATGATATCCCAAGTAGCTTCCTCCAACACCACATTTCAAAGGCAGATATTGCCGAGCTTCCACCCTCCTTGACAATCATTGACCCAAGAACATTATATTATAAACTTGTCCACTTGATCAACTTCTTCTCCATCAACCACCATGCTCTGTGGCATGTAGTTAATTTGCACCAATCATGATCTTGGTCTTTTTCACATTGAGGTAGGGTCCAAATTATTCACTTGCATCCTTCACTCTTTTTTAAGGAGTTCTAGTAGTTCTTCTGATGTTCTTGTTATAAGTGTTGTCAGTGGCATACTGAGCAAAAACAATTAGAGGGGCAGAAAAACAATCTGCATCACCACCACTCATACATGTTACATGCAGGCCCCGCGGAACTTTTTTTTTAAAGCGGGGTGGGGGGGGGGGGGTTGAAGTATTTACGATCAGAAAGAGAGGAGCGCAAATTGGCGTGGTGTTCAAGGGGCACAGCCCCCGAAAGCTCAAGGGTTTCAGGCATTTATTAACTGTAAGATGAACATATTTTGATACCTCATTTCACCTCGGGTCACTTTCTTTCTTTCTTTCTAGTTCTCTTTAACATACTTTATACAAAAAGTGAGGGGGGCTCGAGTCCCCTGAGCCCCGCTGTTCTGCGGACCCTGACATGTAGGCTTTTAAATAAGCATATTTTTTGCTTGACTGTGGATTTAGGATTTGTCATTTTCCAACATACGCTTAACAAATAATAATTTACTAAAAAGTGAGAAAAAACCCCAGGAAAATCATGTCATTTCAGCAACATTTGTAAATCACTGGTATCGAATATATAAAAAAAAACAGTTTGAATTTTGTTTGGGGGTTCAACTGTCCCCCCCCCCCCTCCCCATTAATACGCCAGAGAGTGTTGTATTGTCGGCGTATCTTCGGTTGGTGATCGTTCGTCCACCAACAGAAACTTGACCATAAAATGCCTTTCTCATGATGAATTCAGCATAGATGTAGAAAATTTATGGTGATAGGTTGCAGCCTTGACGGACAACGTGACCAATAGTGAACCTTTCGGTGTCGCCATTCTCTGCTCTTACTGTTGCTTCTTGGTATTGGTAGAGCGACTGGATGAGTTGAATTATATGTGCTGGAAAGCCCATCTAGCTCATAATCTTCCATAGACGTTTATGTTGTACGCAGTCAAAAGCTTTGGAAAGATCAATAAAGCTAGGGAGAGAAGTTGTTGAAACGTGTCTCTAGTGTTGCTAACTTCACTATCTTTTCATGACAACAAACTACAGTTGATCGACATCATAATTATATGCGCGAGTCTGCAGGATGATTGGATGCTCAGAAATAGGCAAAAGCACAAGCAGGCCTTTACCGTCAAGATGAGGTTCTTGTTGAAGTGATTCCAGGCAGTGATGTCATGCCAAGGAAAGGTCTGTCCACAACATAGTTATGATGAAGCAGGCAACATCAAAGAACAGCAAGCGATTGGAATTGATGCTAATGAGAAGATGTATGTTAGGTTCCTAGTGGATGACACAGACGTCTACGTACTACTTTTGCATCATTATCT